CAATGCACCATGGGTAGGTATCCCAGTGTGCCACATGCCACTTTCTGGCACAAAGCCTTTGGGGAAATTTTCACCAGGTGTTGTGAGACAGAAATGACCCTCCCAGAGATCCCTGGGAGTAGGGGGTCAAGTTCCCAGCATGCAACTTTCTGCATTCCATAATGCCATCCATATCCCATACCTTTAATGCCTTTTTTTAAAAAAATCCCACAAACCCGTGCAGCACTCTTTTGCGTCTGCTATCCCTGACAGAAGCATGGAGTTCACAGAGCTCTGCATTAATCTCATGGATGTTAAAAATACAGGCCCCATGAGTCTCCTGTATTTGCAGACCCACAACAACAGGGGACATGATGGTTTTTTTGAGGACAGTTCACCAAGGGACATAGCGAAAACAATTCAAGGTTGTTGGTGGCCTTCAGAGAGCAGCTGATGATGATGGAACGCTGATTCTGGCCCTTAGAAATGAGCACTGGTGCGATTTCACTGTAATGTAGGTTTGGGGGGAATGAGCAGTGGCTGCATAACTTCTGGATGTGCAAGGTCACACTGCTGGACCTGTGTGCTGAGCTTACTCCAGCACAGGGGCACCAAAATGAGAGCTGTACTGACAATGGAGAAGTGAGTAGTGATTGCAGTTCGGAAGCTTGCAACACCACCAGACTGGTTTCAGAGTAGCAGCCGTGTTAGTCTGTATTCGCAAAAAGAACAGGAGTACTAATGGCACCTTAGAGACTAACCAATTTATTTGAGCATCAGCTTTCGTGAGCTACAGCTCACTTCATCGGATGTATTCCTACCAGTCCATGAGCAATCATGTTAGACTTGCAAAAACCACAGTAGGGGCCACTGCCATGCAAGAGTGCAGGGCCACGCAGGACTGTGATTCTAGGCAATGTGCAGGACATAGTGGATGGATTTGCAGCAATGGAGTTCCCAAACTGCAATGGGGCAATAGAGGGCATGCTGCATATGCCTATTTGGCACCAGCCCCCGGGCCACAGAGTACATCAAAAGAAAAGGCTACTTTTCTATGGTTAGGTAAGCGCTGAAGGATCACCATGGATGCTTTGCCGAGATCAGCATGGGCTGATAGATGACACTCACATGACCACAAGACTGTTCAGAAAGCAATAAACACGAACCTTCTTTCCCAACCGGCAGAGTACCATTGGCAATATTGAAATGCTGATAGTGTTTCTGGAGGACGCAGGCTACGCCCTGTTTCCTGGCTCATGAAGCCGTTCACTGGCCACCTTGACAGCAGCAAAGCACGATTCAGTTCCCAGCTCCAGAGGAGCAGAATGACGGTTAAATGTGCTTTTGGTAGCCTGGAGGAATGTTTGGCTTCTCAGTGAGAAAAATATCCCCGGGGTTATAGCAGCCTGTTGTGCACTGCATAATATCTCTGAGCACAAAGGGAAAAATGGATGCCCGTGTGGAGATGAAGCAGTTGTCTGGTATCTTTGAACAGTCAGACACAAGGGTTATTACAAGCTCTGAGCCTGAGGGTGGCTTTCGAAGAACATTTTAAAGGTCAGCCACAGTCATGTTCTCTGGACCTCCAGCTTTGGGTAATGCTAAGAAGTGTGTAGTGCTGGCTGTACATTTATAAATATGACAGGGTGTCTTCCTGAAGTTATGAATTATGTGGTGCTTGCTGTACATTTATACGTACTGTTTGCCTTGAGTACAGCTGTGCATTCTTCAATATGTGGCATGGGCTACTAAAGATAATTTTATTCTCCAAAAATAAAAATGTATTGCGTGGGCAAAACAATGTGCAAAAAAACCCAGGCAATGTTCTACAACTTTTTACCATAAATCAAAGAGGTGGGCACTTTAAAATTGGAACAGGAATAAACATTTCTGTCCATTTGAGTGCACAAATGTGTAACCATAACAGACTACATACACCAACTGCAGTTGTCAGAGGTCAGCATGTGTATGTAAAGCTGTGGTTTTCCTTGCTAGCTCCTGATGTGGAGCACTAGGGGTAAGGATGAGGCCAGTGATGCCCTGTGTTGGGGGGCGTGGGGTGGGGGGAGGCGTATGTGTGTGTGTGGGTGCATGCAGGAAACAGTGATAACGGAGTTCTTCGAGGACTGCAAAGGATGATTTTTTTTTTTATTTTATTTTTTTTTTTTTTAGACTTGTATGTCAACCAGCATCTGCAGCATTTGGATTGGCTGCCTGAGGAGACTTCTTAATTCCTGGTGCACTTCCGGCTCCTTGGCCTGGGCCTTTGCATTCCTTCTCCATGCTGTCTGCCATGTTGAACCACTAAGCCGTTTTGTGGTCCTGGTGCAGCACGGTCTTGCAGGCTCTTTCTGAACGGGTCCCCCTCCTCAGCAGGGTCAGGCATTCTGGGTATGTGGAAGAAGCACCTCTCAAGGCTGCCATGCTAGAAGCTGCTGATTAAAAACAGACAGATGCACCATTGAATTTACAGTCTCAAGAGAAAGGTAAGTTTCAAAACTCCCATCCCTTATTCCCATGAACACTTTTAAGCAGACACCCTCTGCCCCAGTCATTGACAGCCTCCCACTAACAGCCAATCAAGCACTGGGAGAGAAAAATCGACATTCCAATTCCCTGGTAGGGCCATAATACTTTTTAGGCAGGCAGTGCAATAGCTGGGATTTGCCAAATGGTCTTAACAGGTTCCTTAAGAGCATCATTAATTGGCCTGGCAATCCTCATGATTGGTGAGACTCCTGCACCGCCTCCAAGGGACTCATCAGTTCCTGGAGCTGCTTGAAGTCAGCTGCTAGGGAAGGTAGTGGAGTCATCACCACTTCATCAAGTGATAAGGAGGAAGTATTAGTAAGAGGGGGTCATCTCCTTGTCTGCTCTTGATTCTTGCTCCTCAAAGCACAGGCGCTGGCTTCCTCTGGGCCCCAACCCCCTGTACCCCCCCCCAAGCCCCACCCCCCACCTGCCCCTTTCCCCCAAACTCCCACCCCCGTCCCGCCTCTTCCCTCCCAGTTTCACCCCTCTCCCCCAAGTGCACCCTGCTCCTCCCCCCAACACCTCCTGCTCACCGTGGAACAGCTGATTGCGATGGGCACTAGGAGGGAGGGGGAGGAGTTGATCGGCAGGGCTGCCAATGGATGGGAGGTGCTGGGGGTAAGGGGGGAAACTGCCTGCCGCTGGAGCACCCACAGAGTCAGCACCTATGCCTCGAAGGTCTCCTCCTCTGGCATTGGTGGTGCGAGAGGTGGTGGAGACACATGCGCTCTTCTCTGCTCCCTCTGGTGCTGTGACGACCTTGTTGATGATAGAATGTCCCTGGATCCCAACAAGGCCCCTGGGGGAAGGGCATAGGGTACAGGTGGTGACAAGCCTCTGTGCTCTTGCCATGTTGATGTCTCTTAAAGTCTAGCCTCCTCCAGTACCTCAGTGGAGGAGGGGGCGTGATGTGAGTAAATAGGGAACCCTAGACTGAGATTTGAGTGTCAACATACTCCAAGGGGGGTGGGGTGGGAGAATAGTGGTTCTGCTTGTACTGTACAAGAGGGTGAGCATGGTACTCTAGGTGATGGGGGAGGGAGGTTATCAGGGACTGAGTAAATCTCAGTAGGGATAGACACCCCCCATACTGGTTAATAGGGGAGACGCTGACTCCAAAATACTAGCAGGTCCTTAGACTATCTAAATTCTTGCTGTACCCATGCCATCAAATTTGAGACCGAGCAAAACCACTCCCACCCCTCCGTAGGTGGGCAATGGTTCTACACCATTTGGGGTGGGGGTAACTGCATTGCTATAACAGGGCACTTACATTGGCCAGAGAAAAATTTGAGTATAGCCATATGCACAAATAGATCAACGCAAGTAGCCCTAACTTTGAAGTGTAGACACGGGCTATGGTTGTTCTTAGTCTTGGTTATCTCAGGGAGACAGTCTTTTTGTGACCTGAACCTTGGATTACACCTGCATTCCACTGAGACAATGAAATTGATGACCAATTGGGGCAGGCATGTGGCCACAGGTGACAACAGTTTCACAGGAACTAGACCTAGCCTATAGCACTCACGGCTCGACAAAAAAAACAACCACTCGCCTCAACTGCCTTCAGAGTTAAATACAAAGTCCACCTTGCACTCTGGCATTCCCACAATCATATCCTCATTTTCACCAAAAGTGAGTATCCCCATTTTTCCACATGGGACACCTGAGGCACAGAGAGAGAAAGGCCTCTGTGTTCAACAGTAGATGCCCTACTTTTGGTGTAACGAGCTTGAGATGCACAAGGGTCCTGATTTACAGTGGTGCTGAATACATACATCTCCACCTGAAAGTAATGGAAGCTGGAGCTATTAGGCCCAACATGTCTTGGGTTGGGCACCTAAAATTTGTCGATACCTCTAAGGATAACATCCCCAAGGGTACACTGTGTAGCTTGAAAGCTTGTCTCTTTCACCAACAGAAGTTGGTCCAATAAAAGATAATACGTCACCCACCCAGTCTCTGGTGTCCTCAGACCAACAAGTCTCCAACAACACTGCAAACAACTGAGTCAGTAACACAATTGGCAATAACACCCACTCCCTCCACTCCATCTTGTCCCATTCGTCTACTCAACTCCCTTCATGGATAGGTGAACCTCAAAAGACCTTGAGGGTTCACTTTGATGTATTGTAATAGGCAGGTGCTTGTTTGAAGCATATCTGAAACTATCTTCCTGGAAATCTTGTATGAATAGCTATTCTTGCTAGTATGGAGTTTGACTAGCTGTCTCGTGGGGCTGGTTAGGTCAGAAACACTGTAAGAACAGCAGCCTCGCACATGACGTCAAGATTTCAGCTGGGATCAGACATGGAAATGGAGAGGGACATGGAAAAAGATTAGGGAGGAAAGAAGAACACACCATTTTAGAACCTCCTCGGTGTGCTTTAGCCAGAGGTTCAGGTTAAGTCCTGTGTGTTATCTAAAGAAAATTGTCTGTCCACCAGTAATAAGGGCTAATGAATAATGATTTACAAGTATTCTGAAAATGAACATTAAAATTGCTTTTATTGGGACTCAAAGAAGAAACAATTACAAATTTCCCTGCAGCTCATTCCCTGCTGAAGGTGGCGTACGGTCATGTTTATATATATAAAATAAAATTATGCTGTGACCTTTTTCTTGTAGTTGGAAGCAGGGCAGAGGTGGACGTAGGATAACTGTGCTCGTATTTGGAGAGACATTTCTTGTAGTAAGCTTGCTGCAGCAGACCCAACAGTCATTTGTGTTGCCAGGAGGTATACAGTAATGGATGGAAACTGATACTTTATTTCTGTACATGGGCACAGGGCAAACGAAGGGAAATTTATATAGAAAACACAAAGAATGATAAGGTGGCACCATCAAACACTGGGAAATGACAGAACGAAGGGTACCCATGGACCCTTAGTTCAGCTTCCCTATGGTACAAGGAAAGGAGGACTTGTGGCACCTTAGAGACTAACCAATTTATTTGAGCATAAGCTTTCGAGAGCTACAGCTCACTTCATCGGAAACTGTCCCTGGTCTCAGTCCTGGTCCCTGGAACCACAGCCTTGGAACAGCAATTTCAGAGAGCACCTGCAGACCATGCTGAAGCGTGCTCAGCACAGACCGAAATCTTCAAAGAATCTAACTATCATCTGCAAACTGAGATTGTCAGAGGCTCATAACTTGGCCAGATTGGGGCAGATTTTCATGGAAGAAGGCAAAAGGCGCAGCTCTTACATCAGGGTGATCCCTCTGCCAAATGGCAACCCCATGTTCCAAAGTATGGAGGTGTACAAGCTTCTCAGACCATTATAAGACGATTTTTAACATGGGAAAATACACCGTTTGCCCCTCGTCTCATTCTGAGACTGGGCTGAAACATTTATGCTGAAGATTAAAAATTATATGAGGCCTGAGGCTGACAGCTGGTCTAGAAAATTTTAACCCAAATGCTTAAAGTTTGGCAAAGTTAAGCAACTGAAAACAGGCTTGGAATGTGTCTTAATGAAAAGCATTGCAATCCGTCCGTCTGTCCGTCCATACACACACACACACACACACACACACACACAGAGTCATCTTATAAATATATAAATAGTTGCTTTTTTTTTACACATTTATGATCTATCAGCAGTCACTCAAACTTTCCTGGACACCATCACGGAGAATGCCTATAGGTCATAACAGAAAATAATAACCTTACTATAAATGTTTGGAGCTGGTTTCAAGATTTAATAGAGAATGGCATGCCTTTGTATAGTTTTGTTTTCTTTTTTAGCCCTATGTAATTCCACAGCAAGACTATAAGTCACTATTCCATTTTATAGGACAGTTTCAAACACCAATAGCAAAAAATAATAATAATTTTCTTGTACGTTCTATAGGATTTTCCATAAGGGTGCCCAAAGTTATTTTAGAAGTTCTCTTATAGTCTAATAACAAAAAGCTTGGCCCTCCTGCAATACTTAGCTTACTTGGAGAACAGAGCCTATTCATTGTTAGACTGTAGTGGGCTGAGGTGTGGTTGGGGTGCAAAGTAGTTTGCCTCCTTCAGGGGGACATACACAAATCTCACTGACCCTGGGGATGGTGCTGCCAGCAATTACGATTCTGTCATTGTCAATGGGACATACACACTGGGGACAGCCATCAGGAGGGCTTCCGGTCTCCTTGCACGTAGGTGAAACCGTGGGACAAACTGAAGTGCAGGAGATATTCCCTGTAGAAACACAGGTGCAGAGTTGGGTGGCAAAGTCTATGTGGAAAGATTTCCCCACAGGGACGTTTCCATCCTTATAGCCTTGCATGGCGCATTCAAATTGCTGGTAATCTGGACAGGAACATGCAGGGGCACATGGAGCACAGCAGGTATTCGCCGAAGTCACCGCTGTGTGTTGGTCAGGGCATGGGCTACATTTGACAAGAGTGCAGTCTGGTTTCAAGGGTTTACAGGCAGCTTCGGGTAGCGGAAAGCAGCTCAGCAACAGGCAAAGCAAGTGTTCAGGCTTCATTTTCTCTATTTAAAAAAAGAGAGAGAGAGAGGCAAAGAGATATAGCAGTAATTGCTGGCTCAGACACCTGAGTCAATTATACCATTGTAAATGTAAGCGTTCTGTGTGAAACTGTGGTACTGAAATCAAATGGTCACATTCCCATGAAATAGTTACTCACTGGTCAGCTGTATTATTATTGAATCTATTTCCCCATGTTAAGTATCCGCACACCTTCTTGTCAACTGTCTAAATGGGCCATATTGATTATCACTCCAAAAGTTTTTTTCTCCTGCTGATAATAGCTCATCTTAATTAATTAGCCTCTTACAGTTGGTATGGCAACTTCCACCTTCTCTGTCTGTATATATCTATCTTCTTACTATATGTTCCATTCTATGCATCCGATGAAGTAGGCTGCAGCCCACGAAAGCTTATGCTCTAATAAATGTGTTAGTTAGTCTCTAAGGTGCCACAAGTACTCCTGTTCTTTTTACAGATACAGACTAACACGGCTGCTACTCTGAAACCTACTATAATGATAATTTGTATAGCAGTAGCACCTCAGGCCCCTAGGCCAACCACGCTAGCTGCTGTACAAAACACAGAACAAAACAAAACCCCCTGCACCAGAAAGCTTAAATTAGTTCTTCCTTTACTTACCCGGCAAGGCCAGCATTCCAGTTCTGGGTTTCTCCTCAAGTGGACTCAAACACAGTTAGTATGTTGTAATGGACTGATCATTGTACTGCGAGCCAGGGACCCTGAGAACAAATGTTGGCTTTGCCACTTACACTCTGTAACCTTGGGCAAATTACTTAATCTCTGCCTCAATTTCCCCATCTATAAAGAGGAGATAAAATTTACTTTCCTACTTCAGAGGAGTGATATAATTCACAAAGTGCTTTAAGGATGAGAACATTTAAATATTAAACTTTTAAGTCTATTTATAAAAGCTGGTTTGGTCATTTTTAATCTGCATGACACTGCCTGCTTCAATAAAGTGTAGTGTTACAAGATCTGTAGATTTTTTTCAGGCCAGGAGAGACAATTAGATCACCTACTCTGACCTTCTGTACAGCACAGGCCATAGAATTTCATCTCATTCCCCCTGTACTGTGTCCAATCACTTGTGTTTTGGCTAAAGTAGATCTTCTAGAAAGGCATCCAGTCTTGATTTGAAGTTTGTTCCCAGAGCTGATGCTAGCCCCCTGGGGTCCATAAACAGGAACATCTCCCCCCACCCCCCCGATACTAAAGCAGGCAAGTTCTTGCAATAAAAAGCAAATGGGGGCCCCACTGAGCTTTCAGGCCTCTAAGATATTGCTTAGTCTGCTTATGCCTAGCATCAGCTCTGTTTGTTTCCATGGTTGATCACCGTCACTGTTGTTCTGATTAGAATGGTTTTGGTCTGGCTTCAGCTTCTAGTCATTGGTTCTTGTTATGCCTTTATCTACTAGAATTAAAGAGCCCTGAAGTACCTAGTACTTTGTCTCGGTGAAAGTACTTATACCCTGTAATCAAGTCACCTCCTGATCTTCTTTATGATAAACAAAACATGCTGAGCTCTAAGTCTCCTGATGTAAGGCATGTTTTCCAGCTCTCAAATCATTTTGTGGCTCTTCTCCTCTCCAAGTTTTCATCATCCTTTGTAAAACATGGACACCAGAACTATACACAATATTCTAGTAGCAGTCTCACCAAGGCCATATACAGAGGTCAAATCACCTCTCTGATCTTACCCACTGCGCCAGTGTTTGGTTTGAGCATTGGCCTGCTAAGCCCAGGGTTGTGAGTTCAATCCTTTAGGGGGCCATTTAGGGATCTGAGGCAAAAATTGTGGAGCGGTCCTGCTTTGAGCAGGGGGTTGGACTAGATGACCTCCTGAGGTCCCTTCCAACCCTGATATTCTATTACCTCTTTTAGCCACAGCATCACACTGGGTGTTCATGTTCAGTTGTTTGGTCTTTCTGACACTAAATCCTTTACAGAATCACTGCTTGCCAGGATACAGTCCCCCATTCTGTAGGCCAAATGCAGGCCATATTAAAGGCATTTTGTTTGAATGAGCCCAGCTTACCAAGTGCTGACAAGCACTCTCCTGATTTAGCATGAGTCTTGTGATATTTCGTGTGTTTCTTAAAGCCCCAGCTCCTAGAGTTATGTGAATGCACAAGAATTTCAGGTATTTTTTTTTTTTTTAATGAAATTCTCTAGGATTCATCGTTGTGGAGAGAAGCTTGAAAAACATTCCCCAAATGAAACTTTAAAGGCTCTGAAACCAAAAGGCAAATAACAAGAACTCAAAAGGGATTATTTTTAAAAATTCTCATGATTTTTAAGCCAATCTTCCAATTTCGGAATGCTTGCCAGTGGCAATATTGCTTCCTTGTCCTCATCATTATTTACCATTCAGCCAATGTTTGTTTCATCCACAAATTTTCTCTGCAGTGATTTTACATTTGCTTCCAGATCACTGATAAAAATGGCACCAGATTTAGAACCGATCCCTGCAGAAACTGACTAGAAACACTTCCATTAGACGGTGATTTCCCATTGACAACTACTTTTTGAGATCTGTCAGCTAGCCTGTTCTTAATCCTTTTAACGTGTGCTTTATTACTATTGTCTCGTGCTAAGCTTTTAATCAGAATGCTGTGCAGTACTAAGTCAAAAAAATCTAAGTGTATGACATCGGTGCAGTCCCCTTTGTCAACCAAACTCATAAGCCTAGCAAAAACTAAAATCGGGTTTGGTTGCCAAGACCAATTTTCCATAAAGATACAACATTCCAAAAAATTGTTAGTTAATAGTTACATAGGGATGAATTTTCTGCTCAAATCAGTCCATTTTTCTTTAAGATATCCCATGTCTCCTGACCTGATCTCCAGACCCATTCCCCAGCTACCATACACTCCTGGAAAATGGTCGCTCTAATTTAATTAACTGCTTGTGATTTATATTTCAGAATAGTAGAAGGAATCCTTTTTTACATCAAATATGTGACTGTGCTCTAAAATATAAAACAGTTTTAATTACCTGGATAGTCTTCATGCCAAATGTGACAGATTGTTTGGCCCAGGAATGGTGATCAGCCTTTTGATTTTTCTCCCAGCATAACCATACCAGTTCAGCTGCAAGGTTATCTATTTATATGCAATGGCTCTCTGAGCCTTGATGCAGTAGAAACAGGGGGGGAAAGCCTGGGCTGGGAGTGGTCAAAAAGATTTTTATCTTGCTAATGGCTTCAGTTTAGTCTATATCTCCCTTGGTGATCTGTACATTTGTGAAGTCTATTCCAGATTGTGGTGCAATCCTACCCTTCCCCCACCCCGCTTTAAACTTTGACTGAGTGTACTGAAAAGCCCATTAGACTGATAGCCTGCTAAGCGCAGTAAATATAGTGTATATTTGTATATGGTTTTCCATCCACAAGCATACAGAAATGATTCAAAAGCTATGAATGTACCACACTTCTGAAATGCATCCAACACTGGGGAATAATGAACTCAGGGGTCGCACAGCTAGTAGCTACTGTAGGCCAAGCGCATGGCCCATTCTAGGGGCTCCTGACATCCCTTCATTCCCCACCCCCACCCCAAGCTCACATCCTCCTCTAACTGGGAGTCCCTGCAACTCCCCCCCCACCTCAGGTTGCCATATTCTTTCCCCCCATTGCAGAGACTGTGAACATTCCCCACCTTTTGTCCCCATGGCAGGAGATCTGTTTGCTCCCTTTCCCTCCATGCTCCCCCTTCACTCCCAATCTCTTCCCTGCCAGGGATTATGTGCAACCCCCATTTACCCCCCCCCCCCCCACCATAGCAAGGTCCCCCATCCCTGTCAATTTTATTCCCATCCTAATCTCCTTGGAGCTTCCCCCTCCCTCTCGGATTTCTGTTCAGCCAACCATTTTCGACGGGCTCCTGACAAATGTCTATTGTTTCTGTGGAGTCTATTAGCTGGGACAAGCTTTGCCCATTCTTTTCTAATTCATTAGTGCCACAACTCTTCCGGCCTCAACTTCCACAGCTACAGTGCCAGTTTCTTGGGGCAGCCCAACTAAGCTTCTGTCTTCCCTTCTCAGGTGCACCCCTTAAACCTAAAAAGCACTTTGCACTTCACAAGTCAGATAACACCCAACACTTAGCCTAAATGAGCAAGGAAGCATGTGATCCTCTAGTTTACTGAGCTATGGTAAATGCAGGTGGCTTGAGTCATCCCAGCCGTGCCTCAGAGGGCATTTGCAAGCAAGGGTATTTGTAGGAGTGGGCCCATTGAAGGAGTGAATTTAGGCCTGACGTTGCAAACAGTTATACATGTTCTTCCTATAACTTCACTGTGATTCCTCCTAGTGAAATGACACAAATACTCAAGTGTTTGTTTGCAAGATTGGACTCTCCCAGTCATTGTGAAAATAAATGTCCTGGTTAGTTTTTAGCCATAATCCTGACACGGTCTCCAAATTTAGCCTAGCGGTGGGAAAAAGAAAAGAAAAATACACCTGGCAACATTACTAACAAAATCCCCTTTCAGCTGTCAAACTTGTTCATAGTCCTCCTGACTTGTGCTCCAGTCCCATCCCCCAGCTGCCACACACTTCTGAAATCATCCAATAACCACTCAGACCAACCCTCATTCCCAGCTCACCTGCAAAACCTTCATCTTCTCAAAAGATTGGAAGGTAAAGGAACCCTGCCCAAGAGAAGGGTGGCAGAGTGAGGAGGGTTATACAAGACAGACATGGTGGGTGAGGTAATGTCTTTTATTGGACCAGCTTCCCTTGGTGGGAGAGACAAGCTGACCAGCTACACAGAAGAAGAGCTCTGTGTAGCTGAAAACCTCATTGCTTTCAGCAACAGAACTTGGTCCAATACAAGATATTACCTCACCCACCTTGGTCCCGTCTCTCTAATATCCTAGGACCAACACAGCTACAACACCACTGCAAACAAGGGTTATACAAAGCACTTGTGGCTATAAGCAGCAGGAGAGGGAGAGACTTTACTGTATTACCAAAAAAAAAAAAAAAAAAAAATCTGTCTGTCAGAGGGGGGAGAGGAAATAGAAAGAAAGACCTGTTAGGTCACAGGTTTTGTTGTTCAGCTACATAATTGCAATATATTGGCCCCAAGTGCATGGGGAGGGGTAGCTGAGGCAAAGGCTGAAATAGCTAATTGCTGTTTTTTGTTTGCTCTACCCACTGTATTTGTTTAACCTTGCAGTCTTTTTGCATGTGAGGGACAATGATATTTCAGCTCCTTTGTAAAGCCCTTTGAGAGCTACAGATAAGCCGTACTGTATAAGAGCTAAGTATTGTCATTATGGTTCTATCACACAATCCCAAATTCCTCACATGCTGTCCCAGCAAATAAAATCCCCACCCGGCTGCCTGATTTAAGCCACCTTCTTCCCCACTCATAATGTCTACAAAACAGTTTTGCTTTGTCACTACAAAAATCTGCACCAAAGTGAAAATGTACAGAGTAAAGTAAATGTAATATAAAAGCAAATAGCACGAGGAATTTTGTTCGGGGTGTATTTGTTCATTTTCATATTTCATATAATCCTTTATTTTAAACTTACCTGTGTCTACCCCAGAATTTGTAGTCTGCCTTAGAAAATGTATTGCGATTCTGATTATTCATGATCGTATGATCAAGGTCATGGCACCTGCCCTTGGGGTTTTACAGTCTAAAACCAAACAAGATGTGGTTGTAACAAACAGGTGGGAAGAGGGCATGGAGGACAAGGGTAATGGTAATAAAGACACCAGCTTTCAAAGGATAACAATCTCATGGCTCTGAATCATTTCAGAGAATATTCCTTTTGTAAATAAATGAAACCAGCTACTCAGAAACCAAGGTGCCTTGCTACTGATTGTAGGTAGTTTGCTTCAGGCAGCACACACTTGGCCTTGAGTTAGGCATGAGTGAGAATGACTTTTATAAAGAATCTTTCTCAGATCCTACTCAGAAGGATCCCAAAATATTTTACAAACTATGAACCCAATCCTGCATCGATTTAAGCAGCATGACTTGGGCTCCTATGCCCTATGGTAATACAAATAATAAAAATAATAATAATAATCTTAACTTTAACTATTGATCCCATGCTTAAAGTTCATGCTTAAGTCACTCCAGAAACATGGTTAAGATACAGGTATCATTACCCCCTCTGCTGGAATGCAACTTCCTCTAGGGTGGAATGTGACATATGTCAAATAGTACACAGCAACACTTCAGCAGTTTAGGACAGAACAGAAAGACTACTGTACGCTGCAGGGAGACATTTAATTACACACATTGGAATATGGCCAACACACAGAGTTAACAATCCCCCCATTACTCCTGCAAAACATTCCATGGATTCTTTAATGACCACAAATGACTCAGGCCTCTGAGCTCTGTTTCAGATCTTGTCCGAAAGGGGCAAAACCCTCTCAAATAAATAATTAACTATATTTTGTTTTAAATATTGCATTTGTTTTTGTTCGAGTACACAGTCATATAAAATACAATGCTTTTTCTTCATATATATATAACACAGACAATTTCTTGCAGCTATCAGAACCTCGTGTGCTGCTGGACAAACAGCAAATGGAAAATGTCATCTCTCTCTCACACGCACACGCATACAGCCAGCCGCACTCTTTCCTACTGAAAAGTTCTTGTTCATGTGATTAATTTGTTGATTTTTTTTCTCTCAATTTATGAAACTATTCTCTGGATGAATTTAAAAAAAAAATCCACCAGCAAGGGCCTGATTCTGTCTTCTCTGAAATCAAAGGCGAGGTTCCTTCAGTTCAGTAAGGGTAAGATCTATGCTATCAATTTATGTCGGTATAACCACGTCACTCACGGGTGTGGAAAATATGGCTACTGCCTGTCGGGGAGGTGGATTAACTACACCGCTGTAGATGAAGACAAGCCCTAAGTCTCCATCCAGGTAACAAACATTGTTCTTCAGGATTCCCTCTCTGGTTTAGGGAGAGAGACTTTATCACTTTTTGTTGTTCCCCCTCCTCTCCGCTCCCGTCCCCGCTCAATGGTTTTCCCTTAGTGATAGTGAACAGCTTGGGTTTGGTGTGGAGACCTTCCCAAACTGTCTGAACTTCCTGAGTCTGCAAAGCTTCTCCTGAGATTTCCAGGTCTAGCTCTAGTAAGAGGACAGTTTATTGGGGTGGTCTGCTTTTCTGGCCAAAAACCAGACGTGAACAAACACTTACCCAAATACTTGCAAAAGACTTGATGTATTGCGAATAACTCAGCAAACAAAAAGCAGCAGACACCATTCCTAACCATAAATACTTTATCATTTATCAAAAACCTTGTACATACCAGATTCGATTAAAAACACAGACTTGTCGCTTAGGAAAAGCTAAAACTGAAAGTAGTTGCTCCTCTCTCAAACTGCCCACAGCACATGCCTGAAGCAATTGTGCCTATTTCCCTAAACTGGGCTGCAAAAGTGATTTCATTTGTTTACTCTTCTCTTGCTGTGCACTTAGTTCCTTCGGTGTGGCTGTTCTGAGCTCTGCTAACAGCTCTTGGAATGGACTCCAAAGCTTCAAAAATCACATCGGAAACCAAAAATAATTAATTGGCCCCAAAATCATGATTTTTTTTTTAAAAGAAAAGATTACATTGTGTTTTTGGGCTGTCTTTTCAGTTTGGGGATCCCCCTGTCCATCCCCAGTGTGTCTAGGTGACAATTAGTGCTGGCCACTCCCCCAAAAGGTCCTGGGTAAGGGGATTTTGGCCTTTGCTGCAGGAGCTTTCCCCTCCCCATCTGCACAACCCTTGTTCAGCAAATAATCCTGCCCTTCAACTCCCATATCAATCCTGCCCCCTGGCAGCTCCTGCATCGGTTCTGCCCATTCCCTGAGCCCCCACATCAATTCAGCCCCACCAACCTCACCTCTGCTCTTTCTATAGCTCCTGAGAGTCTTCACTCCTCTCTCCCAGGCCCTGGTGTGGGGGCTGCTGCAGGGTTGCCTCTTCTCCTTCCCAGGCCAGGTGTAGCAGGGATGGAGGGCAGATGGGGGAGGAGCAGAGGAGCCATCCCATTGTTCACTGGAGTGAAAGGAAGCAGAGCTGGCCTAACCTGCTGGGTCCTGCTTGCTCCCTTCTCCCTTCCTGTAAGAAAGGGGTCTGCCCCTGAAGGGAGGGAAAGAGAAACTCTGCCTGCAGCAGATCTGATTGGCTGCTCTTCCTCAGAAGGGTGGCGATTGGGGAAGGCAACCAATCAGCAGGGGTTTCCCCCAGCCAGGGGTGAAATGTGGGAGAAGGCTGGCTCCAGCCCCAGCCATAATCATGTGCCTCATGAAGTGGGAGAAGGTGTTAATTAACCATGAAAACAGCAAGAGACAAGTCTTATAAAATCTGTGCAATAAGACCCATATATTAACCCCCTCACCATCCCCCCCAGTGTTGTGCTGTAATGTTATCTCAATATAACTGCTTATTTTAATTAAACTTTGTTCTTTAGTCAGATCATCCTGAACCACAGATTCCTTTGACGTCATTTTGGATGCAATCAAGCGTATGGGACCAAGGATTAGTCAATTAAAATCTTAGCCTTGTCATTTTGAAAAACCGTCAGTGGCTTATTTCAGATTCATCTGAGGCAACAGAGCCTCTTGGTGAAGCAACTCTTTGTTGCTGGCTCTTGTCCTTTCGGGTAATGAAGTTCAGGAGATCCAGGGCCGTCACCATTCCAAACACCATCTGTTTCTTGGTGTAACTGCCATCTCCAATGTCTGTAAGCACACGGTGAAGTACATTACTGAGTTATCTGACAAAGCAGTCCAGAAATGGCTGTGATTTTATAAAGATAAGACCTCAAACAGGCCAGCGTCATCCCTGCTATGATTCTGCTGAAAAGGATTCCAGGCGCAACCCCACAGCAGTCAATCGGGTCACATCAGGGATGTACGGGGGCAACAGTGAATTCTTTACCGCTACAAGGAGTCTAATTCGTCACTTGACCTTATGAGACTTTTGTTCTAATGACTCCTGCCCTTCCCATCCCAAATCAACAATAATCTTTAACAGCAGCAGTGATCATTGTATTTATAAACAATCCTTCCGCCCCACCTCAGCTGATTTAGTGCTGTACCACACCACTACTAAGCAATATAAAGTGCAATAAAGTCTAACTTTTTAAAAAACATGTCCTCTTAAAAGCAAACTAATAAAATGCAGGCGAGGGTGTCTAAATCACAGAATGTTGGGAGGGATGGGAGGAAAGTAATAAAAATGGGGTGAACTGTGGTCAGACTAAAATAGCACCTTTTGACTACAAAAAGTGTTTAAGAAGCGAGGTGAGTCTAGCTGGCTGAGTTTTTCTACCACCTCCATTTTTTTTAAAGTGAAAAATGCAATTTTGCCAAAATCAAAATGTTTAATAGAAAATGTGGTTTTGGAGACCGTTTTGATTTTTTTGACCCAAAAAAATGTAAACAGAAAATTTAAGGGTTTTTTTGGTGAAAAAAAAAATCAAAATCTTCCACAAACATTTTAAAATCAAATTGTTTTGATCTTAATATTTTGCAGAAATATACCTGGTTTTTCTCAACTCTCTACAGCTGAGATTGATGGCCGACTCCCCTTCCCACAGAAGAGTTATAGTCACAGAGGGGGATTCACAGAGCCATTGCTTGATTTTCTCGTGTTGGGAGATGCATATGGATTTGCAGGATCTGAGTTCAGCAGGACGGCTTGACCCTCAAACTGCAGCCCCTTGCAGGCGAACAAACCAACATGGCGTGCTATTTCACTAGCTCATGTGCATGAGCAGCTGTACATTTAACATTGTTCGCCCATAAAATCAGCCTAATCACACCCTGAAGTTCTAATGTTAGCCAGAGCGCAGTTATCTTGGCTGCTTTGTTGTGGCAGTGATATCTTAAACACAGCACCTCCCATAAGATAAGGCATCAGCTACACTTACCAATTTTTACCACATAACTACATGGTAAGGGGTGTTATTTTTGCCAACATAGGTAGATCTCTAAAAACCCTTGTGTGGATGCAGTTATACTAGCATAAGGGACTCTATACTGCTGTAAGTTATTTCATTTCCCTGAGCTAGAAGAAGCTACTCAAGTCTCAGCACTTTTAGCCCAGTATAACTGCTTCTACACTAGGAAGGTTTTGTTGCTCTATGGCAGCACAGGTAAAGTGGCAAAACGTTTTAAGTGAGAGCAAGGCGTAAGAAATGATCCCCTTTGTGAAAACTGTTTGTTGAGGCTATGGCTACGCTAGGGATGATGCAGCTGCACTGCTGTAAGCTCTCTAATGTAGCCGCTCTAAGTGGATGCAAGCGAGCGCTCCTGTCGGCTTAATTACTCCAGCTCCCGTGAGTGGTGGCAGCTGTGTCGGCAGGACATAACTTATACTGACCTAAGCTGTAGTGTGTACATAGCCTGAGAACCTGCCTCTATCATTTACAGAGGCTCTCCAGGGCAGGTGCTGTCATTTACTTTATATCTGTGCACCCAGCCCAATGGGGCTCTAGACTGATTAGAGCCAGATTGCCCTGGAAAACGCTACTCAGGGTGGAGGAGAGGGCCAGGTTCTGCTGCAACTCTGCTAGGAGGAACTGCCCGTAGGGTCTCATCTCCAAATGGGAAAATCCAGCCCACACCTGAGCATGCTTGGTACCAAGATTCTGGGCAGAGCCATGGAGTGCTGCCTGGCATGCACGGGCCGGCTCAGTTCCTGGTGAGCAGAGTGACCAGGAGATGGTAGTGAGCAGAGGAGGCACAGAAAACCAAAGTGTTGCCTGAGTGTGAACACACAGCAGAGCCTGGCAAAGCATGCCGTGTGCTTGAGGAAGGGCAGAAGAGCAATGAGCCCCCTAGTGGTCAATATAGCTAAGAGGACGCAGAGAGAGGGGCAAGTTTGATTGGAGCCCCTGGCAAGCAATTGCAGTATTCCTAAAGAATAACAAAAGGAACTTTTCCCCACCTTAATCACCACCTAACTTCACCCCACCCTTCTGAGTCCAGGTCTCAGCTGAGGAGAAGTGAATGGGATTCTCTGAGTACGCCTACACAGCAACTAGACAGCTGCAGCTGGCCTGTGCCGGCCGACTCAGACTCAGGGAGCTCAGGCTGTGGGGCTGGAGCCCTGCGAGGTGGGCGCTCCCAGAGCACAGCCCGAGTCCGGAAGTCTACACAGCAATGAAACAGCCCTGCAGCCCTAGCCCTGTAAGCCTGAGTCTGGTGGCATGGGTCTGCCACAGGCTTTTCTTTGCTGTGTAGACATGCCCACTGTGGACCCCATCAGTGTCATTCTTTTGTTGGCCAAAAGGCTCACTCTGAAGTACCACGCAGGAGTCCCTCCTCCTCACAGCTAAGCAAGCTGACCCACCCAACCCCTGCTATCTTAAAGAGCAAGTGACAAGAGAGAGCACTCTCCCTTCCATCTGCACAACCATACGGGAGCTCTTGGGTCCAAGCCCAAGGGTAGGGAAGTGGGGAGCATGGTTCCTGTAGCAAGCACCTCTTCTCTGGCGCTCTGTCACAGCTCCTCTGTTCTCTGTGGTACACTCCTCCTCAGGTCTCCTATTAGGAATCCACTGGGGTATTAACACTGCTCTCAACAGCATTACCACACAAACTCCTTTCTGCAGCAGCTGCTGCTGCTGCACAGAGACGGGGGGACTCAGCCATGGCTGCTATGGTGGCTGTGTTACTACAATCGTGCCTAAAGGCTCCAGCTGAGGTCAGGACACTATTATGCTGGGTGCTGTACATGAGCACAGTAAAGACCAGACGCTCCCCTGAAGCACCTACGATCCCCACACACCACAGGTGAGAAAAAGGCAGTACCATTATCCCTGTTTTAGAGATGGGAAACTGAGGCACAGAGACTGCGTGACATGCCCACGGTCGCGCACACAGTCCGCAGCAGAGCTGGGATTTGAACTCTGACTTCCCAACTCTCAGTCTGGTGCCTTTTTACCGCAGATCAGGCTTCCTCTTTTGAACCTCTGGCCAAGAAATGACACACTTTACGATAGCCGTAAGGGCGTCACTAAAATAAATCCGTTTGTGTCCAGCTGTAGAGCTAGTTAAATAATCAGAATAAGAACCTTAGTGTTTCAGGCTCCCCATGCCTCTCTTCATGCTATCACGCATGGGGTTTTGGAGAGGGGTGAATGGCGATGGGGGAAAATCCCTCATGCAGGAGGAGCATAGGGTTCCAGCTGCTCCGCTGGTACCTTCATGGCCCTATTGTAAGGATTCCATCCCCAGAGAATGCCGGTGTAAAGCCCATGTAATCTGGTTGGTGCACAAGTCAAGAGTTTGGCTTTCCTTTTCCTCCGTAAAAGATACTTACATTGCAACTGTTCATGTACAACTATAGCAAAATGATCATCCTCCAGGATATTAGAGAGGTTTCCAAGGTTGTCATCCAGGCTAATCTAAAGAGCGGGGACCAAAAAAAGAAAAAAGGGCATTTAAACGCTTCACTTTGTGACAGCATTAGGGACCCAATTCTTACTTTTAAAGCACAGTCCTGTGCTGGGGGGCAGTAGAGAGATGGAGGAAGGGAATATCAGAAGGCACAGGTGTGCTGATGCAGATAAAGCACTTCCTGGAGCTTCAGGGAGTGCAGGGGAAACACAAAAACAAGCACAAAGGCCCAAGTCCTCACCAGGTATAGTTTGGAGTAGCTCCATTAACCCCATTGGAGCTATGTCCGCCTACACCACCTGAGGATCTGGTCCAGTGACAGTAGTCATCCCCAGGCCTTGCATGGGAGCAGAGAAATTGGGGAATACCTCTTTCGCTCTCCCTCCTTTGCACAACCGCAGAAAGCCTGGCATAATCTAACTTGTAATTAGACACGTCATACAGTGGAATGCTTCCGAAACACAGGTCTATATATAGGGTCAGTTCTGCCAAGTGCAGAATTCTACCATTTCAGCAGCAGCTGTTTGCCATGGTATGAGTGGGAGCGGGAGCAGGAGCAGGTCCCTGTATTGGCAAAAATGCAATGATCGTGAATCCGTGATATGAGTATCACTCACAGAGTATTCAAGTTGCTCCAGCTAGACACGATCCTTGCCTAAAAACCGCACATGACAGATCCTGTCAGGCTTTGCGTCATTTCGGTAAGATCCTTTTCTCATTCTCTCTCTACCCCACTTCAATTCCCTGTCCCCACTCCTCTTTCCCTTTTCATTTCTACTGTCCCTTCCCACCACCTCTCATCTTCTGTCTCTCCCTCTTGCTCATCCCATCCTCTCTCTCCTCTCCCACTCCTTGGAGTGGGGATCATGCCTTATTTCTGTGTTGGGAGGTGCCTAACTCACCTCTGGGCTCTATTTGAAACAAATCAATAACTCTAATACCTTTGAAAACTGGTCATTGATGACCTTGATGACTGGATCCGAGAACTGAGCATTTCCAGCCAGCACTGAGGAGAGGATGTTACTGGGAGTCACCATTCCCAAAATGTGACTGTAAGAGAACAGGGAGATTTGCAAAGGGTCAGGCTTGAGGTGGTCATATGGCTAAACAGCTTTTAGGGACCAATCCCGCTCCCTTTGAAGTCAGTGGCAAAATTTCCTGCCTTCAATGGGAGAAGGCAGTGTCCCTTAGTTCATCCGAGCATCTTTTTGGTGGGTGCATGTCTTCCTGACTGTCATTTGCTGGTATGTCACAGTAAAAACAAGGCTTAGAAAATCAGCTCACTGTTGGGTCACCTCTTTCTTTCCTCCTTCCTGGGCTATGGGGTTAGCCTATTCTCCTGTACTATAATCAGTTTCCACCACAGGAGAACATATTTCTGACTTGGTTACCATCTGGTGTGGAAGGAAGCAGCCAAGGAAAGTACCTAGCAAGGAAATAATAACAGCACAACATTTAGATGCTAATACAGAGAGATGGGGATACAATTTCAGATTGGGAACCTTCCATCTCCAAACCGGAGCCTGGGGCCAGATCATTATTAGCTGAGACACCCTGTGCTGTAGAAAAAGCTCAACTTGTTTAGCCAGTGAGGGACTCCGTTGTATACCCGCAGCTGCTACTGTGGCTGTTTCATTAAAACATGTATCCTCAAGAGGAGGATCGTCTCCCTAATACAGTGTTTTTAACAGCAATTATTGTCTGAAATTTGCAGCTCAGGATTTAACATTTGAAGAAAAGTCAGCTAATGGGCACTTGCTGTCATTTACCAGTGTGTTTCATATCTATGCCTTACTTTTACTGTACACTTTATTGTCCAACACCCATTGACTTCAGTGGGTGTTGGATCTGGCCAGTTCTTCTCTTGGCTAATTTATGTAATGTTTCCCTGATAGGCCACATCTGTTATTGCTGACTATAGCAAAAATGAGGATTTGAAACAATATAGGTAGCTGATCCTAAGAGGTGCTGAGCATGTGCAGCTCCCATGCCAACTCAGCATCTCTCAGGATTAGGCCCGTGCCTTTATTTTTCACTTTTACTGTACAGGTTTTTAAATGGTACATTAAAAAGTGTATTGAAGGGACTGAATGAATCAGGTTTATTGTACAACTATAAAGTATTTCGTCATTAGTTTCCTCATTGCTGTTATTCATTCACATAATCATCCACACAACCGAGAAAAGAGATACCCAGATTCAGCAACCACTGGTGCCTGGGCATAGCCCTTCTCCTTGAGGATTTCGATTGCCTTTTGACAGTTGACCTCTGGGACAAGAAGGAGAGGGGCCGAGAGATTCAGCTTCCGCACCTTGACATTCCACCACCTGTTGGAAAAGGACAAGAGTTTATTGTTATTCACAAGCATGAGGCATGTGTGGGGCTGAGTCTGGGCTGCTCCTTGTCTTGTTTAGACAGAGCTCGCTCAGACACAGACTACAGTACAGGCAGATTTAGACAGAGGGCACCACACTGGAGCTCAGCTGTGTACTCAGGCAAGTATCACTCCTGACTCAGGGCTTGAGCCTGCAGTGCTGAGCACCTGTCCCTGATCCACCAAAGCCCTTAAGCAAGTGCTTAACTGTAAGAAGGGGAGTAGTCTCACTTGACTTCACTGCTTTCATTTGTACCCGTGTTTCTTAAGGCCTGGAGCGTGTAGCCCCAACACAAAAAAAGAGTCCTACAATGCAGCAGGCTTCTGGAAGGTTTGGATATTCCTGTTCTCTCTGAATAGAAGGAAATCTGCAAGTCTGAAGTCATCTGACGTTAAAGGGCCTTTCAATCTAGCAGACAAAGGCAAAGCAAGATCTGATAGCTGTAAGCCGAAGTTAGAAAAACTCAGATTGGAAACATGGGCGGTGTGTGAACCGTTGGCTTGGGGAGGCTAGCCCCCAGCCCCGCCCCTTCCACCCTAGGTCCCGCCATTTCCATGCCTCCCCTTCCCTCCCCAGAGCCCAGAGCCCCCCCACTGCAGCCACCATCCCCTGCCTCAGGCTAGTGCCCTGAGCCCCAGAGCGCGCCCCTGCCCCCCAGTTCCCAGTGGGCAGTGCAGCCCCAGCCCTGGAGTGCCGGGACGGAGGGACGGCCCCAGCCCGAGCCTGGGCCACCACACAGGGGAAGAGCCACAGAGCCCAGAAGCAGGAGCGGGACGGAGGGCAGAGCATGGGTGGGGCCATGCCTGGTTGTTTGGGGAGCCTCCCCCCAGCCTATGCTACCTACCACCCATGACTGGAAATAAGATACAACCCTTTTTCAACAATGAGGTTAATTAACCTTTGGAGCAACATCCCAAAGGATGTGGCAAATTCATCATCACTCGGAGTCTTTAAACTGAGATTAACTCCCTTTCTAAAAACTGTGCTGCAGTACAACCATGAGTCACTGGGTTCAAAAGTGTTCACTTATGTAGTAGAGAAGACTAAATTCCCTCCACTGCAAGAATCACCTGCTGAAATTCTATGGCCTGGGTTATGCAGGAGGTCAGACTAGATTATCATAATGATGCCTTGTGCCCTTAGAATCCGTTAATCTAAAATGGGAACTTTATATTTCCTGCCTGAATGGAAAATGGAGATATTTAAAAGGACCCTTCATCTCTATTGTCTATGACCATTGTCACCACAGATTTGCTGGAAGCTTCCTTGCTGGGGAGGACATTTGACACTGACCTAGAAATTCATTCCAAATTGTTCTTCACTGTAGACAGACACAAGACCTTGGTCTGTGTGAAAGAATTAATTTCTGCAGAAAATAAACTCCTCCTTTATGGACTAGACCAATGAACAGGGAAACCAACATTTGAAAGAGAGTCCAATCCATTCCAACAAGATTAATCAGCGGTTCTCAAACTGTGGGTCGGGACCCGTTTTAATGGGGGTCACCAGGGCTGGCTTAGACTTGCTGGGGCCAGAGGCTGAAGCCAAAGCCCGAGCCCCACAGTCTGGAGCTGAAGCCTGAGGGCTTCAGCCTTGGGCAGTGGGGCTCAGATTACAGGCCTGCTGCCTGGGGCTGAAGCCCCTTGGGCTTCGACTTCCTCCCATCCCCAGGGCAGTGGGGCTTTGGCTTTCCCACCGACCCCCGCCAGGGTGCCAGGGAGGGCTGAGGCTTTGGTCCCCTGTCCTGGGGTCATGTAGCAACTTTTGTTTTCAGAAGGGGGTTGCGGTGCAATGAAGTTTGAGAACCCCTGGACTAGATTAACTTTTCAAAGGGACTGAATTATTAAAAGAAAATTAAAAATAGATGATCATTTCCAAATGCAGAGTGATTATTTCCCTATCAATGAGGGCAGTTAATGTAGCAGGGAGTAGAACCTTACCAAGGCTTATGTTCCTGGATATTTTTTAGAAATCCATTCTTGCCCATCCACCTATCATTCAAGAACTTGGACCTAGAAATCATCAGCAAAGAACAAGGAAGAAGTCTGTAATACACCCAGCAAGAAATTGAGGGGGGGGTGGGGGGCGGGGAGAGAAAGGATTTAAATGCATTAGGCCTTAGCGTTTCACCATGGCTCCCATAGTTTGAGCAATCAGCTGATGTTGGCCCCTTTTGAGGTGAATGGGAGGTGCAGGTGAAATTACACCAGTTATTTAGGGCCTAAGTTTAAGCACCCAAGTTTGAAAATTTCAGTCTAGGTGATTTTTCCTGGCGCATAATAGAGTATGTCAATGACGAGTGAAATAAAATCCAAGCGTTCTGACTCCCAGCCCTCTGCTCTTACCATTACACGATAATGTTTTGCACTCTTATGTTAATGTCCATATAAGGACTGCAAAGGTCCCTGTGAGGAAGGTAAATTGACTCCTTATTTATAGTCTCATTCACCACTCCAGTTTTATGCTGGTGTAACTCCATTGATTTACATGTACCTGCTTTCAGTGGTGTGTTACACTGGCGAAACAGAGTAGTGAAGTGGGTCCATAGTGTTTCCTCCTCTACTGACGGAGTGAGGTAATTTCCCCTCTGCCGCAGAGAATAACTGGCCATGTGACAGCAAATCTTTGGTATGGCCCCTGTTATTCATTGGGTCCATGAATGTCATTTCCATTGCTATGGCTGAACTCTGCAACACTGTCACGTCAGTGACAGCAGCAGGTCGGAAGCACTACAGAAGAGGAGGCTTACATGTAGTTTCTGACGGAGTCGGGCAAGATGACAACACAGCGCTGACCCTCCGCCAGATCCTTGGCAGCCTTCACAGCAATGGCCATTGCGCTGCCAGAGCTGCCCCCTGACGTTATGAACAAGAAAATGGACTCACACAAGGGCTAACAGTATATGAGACCATAATATATAATCACAGAGCGGCCTAGGGCAATGCCCCTGCAGCGACAGGCAGGGTTGGGTAATGGGACACTGAACCTTTAGGGCACGAGCCTCCTCTCACCGGCACCAGTGTGTTTCAGGCATAACTCCAATCAAGCCAGTGCAGTTACACTGGTGTACGGGAGAGGAGAATCGGGCCTATAACCTTGCAAGCCCCTAGCTCCAGGAGAGACCAGGTAGTGACCAAAGGAGAATGTGCAGGCGAGGGCTGTTGAATGGATGATGGGAGTGGTGATTCTAGTCCAGTTTGTGGCCCCATCACAAATGACACTATCATCACTCTGTGAGCCGTGTCTGCAGGGAGGACAAGGATTGACAGGGCATGGCCCCAGCTCCTCAAAGGTATGTAGGCATCTAACTTCCATTGATTTCATATCTTTGAGGGTCTAGCCAGTGAGACCAAACTCCCTTCCAGCCTTTGAGATGGACCTTTCAGGTGAGGGGCAGGGGGGCTGGGAGAAACTTGCCCATGCTGTCTCTCCAGAGCTTCATTTCACTCTCCAGAGCTGTTGAGCTAACACATTTTACAAGTGCCTAGTGCACTTTAAATAAATGGTCGAAAGGAAGGAAAATTAAAATTGCACTTATACATGGGATACCAGCCAGTGATGGCGTTTGGGGCCGTGAATGTGTGTGTGTGTGTGTGTGCACGCATCTGTGTGTTTTCGTTTTCCTGCGTGTAACTGAAAAAAAGGTCCTTGGCTTCTCACAGGTAATTCTACCTGCTAATATTTCAGGTTAGAAAAGACTAAGGGTCATAATAGTCCTCAGTCCGTGTGCACTTCGGATTTCTGAACCAAATTTCTTCTTGGTATGACACCGTTGACCTCAAAAGGAATGATAGTGTGAATGTAATACTTCTGAGTGCAAGTGACATTTTGTAAGTAAGTGACTTGTAGTAATTCAGTTTTGTAAACTAGCTGTACTCTAGCAAATGTAGAAAAAGTGCTTATTTCATTGTCCATCATCTGAAATCTCAGACATAAGGAGTTAAGTTTAGTAATAGGTTGTTATTTTATCATTTACATGGCAATTCTCTTTAGACTTGCAGATGCTGTCCTTTGAAATGTGGAAACATATCTCCTGAGATAACCTTGAGTGATGGAAGACACTCCAGGCCAATTTTTAAAGGTACTTATGTACCTAACACCCACTGGAATCAATGGGAGTCAGGAGCCAAAATACCTTTAAAAATGTGCTTCTTATATATACTCGTGTTACATATATACCAAGGTAACATTTTCAGATTTGGGTGCCTAAACTTAGGCACCTAAATCCAAACGTAGGCATCTAAATAAAGGAGGCCTGATCTTTCAAAGGTGCTGAGCACCTGCAGCGCCTCTGTCGTCAGTGGCAGTTGTGGTTTCTCACTACTTCTTTAGCTATCAGCATGAGCCCCTGTACTGGCTGGTATTGGATTTGAACCCGTGTGCATCTGGCCCAGGGCTGAGAGTGCAGCCAGCTGAGTTGCACTGATGCCTTGTGGAGTGGGCCCTGATGTGCATCTGTAAGCAGCGTTTGCACAAGGACAACTGTTCGTTTTGGAAAGCTGTTCGGTTTCTCTTACGAAGGATTTCTCCCTTGCACCAGGGACTGGGAGCTGTAAGAACGCCTCACTTTAACAGGACATCTCAAAACGTCCTGCTTCAATCCCTGCACCTTCCAGTATCATATGGCAACTGTTCAAAGACAGCAAATATAACCCCCTAGGGCTGACTTAGTGGAGCTGCAAGTTTTGCCCATTTGCCCTGCTCTGAATCCCATGAATCTTTCCACTCAGCTCATGTGTCACGGCACCCAAAAAAAGGTAGCCCCAGAAGATCTACCGCTTTATGCAAAAGTGTGAAAGTGAGATGAGATTACAATTATTTAGCATGAGTCAGATCCAGGGCTGCTATAAATCATTGTAGCTCCATGCAATCAATTCACACCAACTCAGGATCTGGCCCCACCAGTACAGCACAGAGAATGTGCTCGGAACTGTGTAAGACACAAAAACACAGACACTGCCTGCCCTGAAGAGCTTTCTAGTCTAAAATGCTTAAAAGATGGAATTAAAATGGAAAATGTTTATGAACAGACACAACATTCTTCAATAATTTACCACACAATAATCCTTCCTCTCTAATCAGCCTGCGAGCCATGAGAAAGGAATCCGTGTCATTGGACTTGCACCACAGATCCACCACCTGAAAGAAAGGAGAGAAAGATTTTAGGGTCCTAGAAATGCTATTTTGGGCTCCACTCCTCTGGTGCATTCTGCTCTGTACAGGAGGCCGGGTTTTCAGAGGTGCTGAGCACCTGCATCTTCCTTCAGAGTCAAATCACTTTCCACTGCACTTGAAAATGAACACATATGGCAAAGCACCTGTAGGCTTCATCCTTAGCTTCCACGGGAGTGAATTTTATCCACATTAATTCCTCATATGCTTCTGCCAACACTGCAGAAGTAAAACTGTTAGTGTGGACAAGCCGGACAGTCTCTATGCAAAAAAATAAAGGGACACAAATCAGACATCCAGAATTGTAACATTCAAATCCAGTAAAAGAGTACTTCAATCTCCCTGGACACTCAATACCAGTCTTAAAAGTGGTCATTCTTCAACAAAAAAAAACTTCAAAAACAGACTTCAACGAGAAACTGCAGAACTGGAATTAATTTGGAAACTCAACACCATCAAATTAGGCCTGAATAAAGACTGGGAGTGGCTGGGTCACTACAAAAAATAATTTCCCCTCTGTTGATACTCACACCTTCTTGTCAACTGTTGGGAATGGGTCACATCAACCATGATTGAATTGGCCTTGTTAGCACTACAAAAATAATTTTCCCGCTGTTGATATTCACCCCTTTTTGTCAACTGTTGGAAACGGGCCACATCCACCCTAATTGAATTGGCCTCGTTAGCACTGACCCCCCCCCCACTTGGTAAGGCAACTCCCATCTTTTCATGTGCTGTGTATTTATACCTGCCTACTGTATTTTCCACTCCATGCATCCAGTGAAGTGGGTTCTAGCCCACAAAAGCTTATGCCCAAATTAATTTGTTAGTCTCTAAGCTGCCACAAGGACTCCTCGTGGTTTTTAGTGTCTAATGTGTTTTGAGTAGTGGTGGGCTGAGGAAGTGGTGTTCAGATCCCATTCTGGGTCAGGGTTAAGCTAGGGTTCAGGGTTTTGCTGAACCAGGGCTAAGGTTCACAGAGAGATTCAGTGGTGCTGATGGCTTGCAAAGTGCTTTGGTGGAGATTTCAGGCCAAAACCCTAGGGATGGGCTCAAATTCAAGTGCTGTCATTCAACCAGATCTAAAACGTGAAGGGGCTCACACCTGAGATTCTGGTTTTGTGTGCGACTCCGAGAACCAGGCTGAGTGTTTTCCTGTGGAGGCGGAGTGGGGAAGGAGGCCACTCAGGCTAAGTTAGGGCTGTGAAGAACTCTGACTGGCAGCTGGGTATGAGTCAGACTGGTGGGCAAGGGAGTTGCTGTGTGAAGGAGAAAGTGAGACGACGTTGTGTTGCACTTTTGGCAATTTTTGTTTGTTTATAACTGCCTCTCTGTTTGCCTCTGTGTCTTTTAGATTGTAAGCTCTTGAGGGCAAGATCTCTGACTCTTCCATAGGTGGGCCTACACTGCAATCACAGGTGTGAGTGGAGCTTGTGAAGACATACCCACGATAACTTTAATCTAGCTAACTCAGGCATCAGTAGCAGGGAAGCTGCAGCAGCATGGGCTTCAGCACTGGCTGTCTTAGCCCGCCCAGAACCCTTGGTAATTAGTCCGACAGACAGCCTGTACCACAGCCCACGCTGCTGCAGCTTTACTGCTCCCAGCATCTGAGCTAGCTACACTAAAGCTGGAAATAACCTCTGTGAACATACCATCTAGCACTATTGGGTGCTATCCCTGGTTAGGGCCTTCAGGCTCTACTAGAATTCAAATAGTAAATAATGATAATAATGAAAAGCACTGGGACCCATTATTATATTATTAACAAGGCTATAAGAACTGCCTGAAAGTTTGTTAAGAAAGACAGAATGATGAAGTGCAGTGTTGCAGCATATTTCTGGTTGTCTCTTAAATTTGGCCTCTCCCTGCAGCTCATTTAGGTCAGACATATGGGTTGGGCAGGTTCTAAGCCACCAGCGATAGCATCTTTTGCATTGGTAACTAATTCAGCTAACTTTCAACAATTAGAGATGGGCCAGAACTGGACCCTGGATCTGAACACTTTTGAACGTGGGGACAGTTTGGTCCAAGAACCAAACTTCATGGCTGGGCCCTAACCACCCCTCCCCCATTGCTTGTCACAATGCTACTTACTGATCTGTCAAGGACAGTTGGGATAAAGTCATGTCCAATCCCCTCTACTTCCATGGTTGCGTCCTCTGCTGTGTTCAGCTCACTGGGCAGAGCGACAATGGAGCCTTCGGGATCTACACAAACAATCTGAAAGGGAAGAATCACTAGTAAGACCAGAGGTGGGCAAACTACGGCCCACAGGACCCTCCTGTCCAGCCCCTGAGCTCCTGGCCCAGGAGGCTAGTCCCTGGCCCCTCCCCGGCTATCTCCCCTCCCACACAGCCTCAGTGCACCGCCAGCGCAATGCTCTGGGCGGCCGGGCAGCGCAGTTGCAGAGCCATGGCCTGACCCGGTGCTCTGGCCTGCACGGCTGTAGCACCACCAGCCACCGGTGCTCCAGGCAGTGCGGTAAGGGGGCAGGGAGCAGGGAGCGTTGGATAGAGGGCAGGGGAGTTTGTGGTGGTGGGTAGGGGGTGGGGTGTGTGGATAGGAGTCAGGGCGGTCAGAGGGTGGGGAACAGGGTGGTTGAATGGGAGCAGGGGTCTCAGGGGGACAGTCAGGAAGGAGAAGGGGGGTGAGATGGGGCGGCAGGGGCAATCAGGGGCAGGGGTTCCGGGGGCGGTCAGGGGACAGGAAGAATCATAGAATCAAAGACTTTAAGGTCAGAAGGGACCAATATGATCGCCTAGGCTGACCTCCTGCACAATACAGGCCACAGAATCTCACCCACCCACTCCTGTAACAAACCTCTAACCTAAGTCTCAGCTACTGAAGTCCTCAAATTGTGGTTTAAAGACTTCGAGGTGCAGAGAATCCTCCAGCGAGTGACCCATACCCCATGCTGCAGAGGAAGGCGAAAAACTCCCAGGGCCTCTGCCAATCTGCCCTGGAGGAAAATTCTTCCCGACCCCAAATATGGTGATAGGCTAAACCCTGAGCATGTGGGCAAGACTCACCAGCCAGACACCCAGGAAAGAATTCTCTGTAGTAACTCAGATCCCACCCCATCTAACATCCCATCACAGGCCATTGGGTGTATCTACCGCTAATAGTTGAAGATCTATTAATTGCCAAAATTAGGCTATCCCATCATATCATCTCCTCCATAAACTTATCAAGCTTAGTCTTGAAGCTAGATATGTCTTTTGCCCCCACTGCTTCCGTTGGAAGGCTGTTCCAGAACTTCACTCCTCTGATGGTTAGAAATCTTCGTCTAATTTCTAGTCTAAACTTCCTGATGGCCAGTTTATATCCATTTGTTCTTGTGTCCACATTGGTACTGAGCTTAAATAATTCTTCTCCCTCCGTGGTATTTATTCCTCTGATATATTTATAGAGAACAATCATATCTCCCCTCAGCCTTCCTTTGGTTAGGCTAAACAAGCCAAGCTCTTTGAGTCTCCTTTCATAAGACAGGTTTTCCATTCCTCGGATCATCCTAGTAGCCCTTCTCTGTACCTGTTCCAGTTTGAATTCATCCTTCTTAAACATGGGACACCAGAACTGCACACAGTATTCCAGATGAGATCTCACCAGTGCCTTGTAAAACGATACTAACACCTCCTTATCTCTACTGGAATTTCCTCGCCTGATGCATCCCAAGACCGCATTCGCTTTTTTCACAGCCATATCACATTGGTGGCTCATAGTCATCCTGTGATCGACCAGTACTCCGAGGTTCTTCTCATCCTCTGTTACTTCCAAGTGATGCATCCCCAGTTTATAACAAAAATTCTTGTTATTAATCCCTAAATGCATGACCTTGCACTTTTCACTATTAAATTTCATCCTATTACTATTACTCCAGTTTACAAGGTCATCCAGATCTTCCTGTATGATATCCCGGTCCTTCTCTGTATTGGCAATACCTCCCAGCTTTGTGTCATCCGCAAACTTTATTAGCACATTCCTGCTTTTTGTGCCAAGGTCAGTAATAATAAGATTGGTCCCAAAACCGATCCCTGAGGAACTCCACTAGTAACCTCCTTCCAGCCTGACAGTTCACCTTTCAGTGTGACCCGCTGTAGTCTCCCCTTTAACCAGTTCCTTATCCACCTTTCAATTTTCATATTGATCCCTATCTTTTCCAATTTAGCTAATAATTGTCCATGTGGAACCATATCAAATGTCTTCCTGAAATCGAGGTAAATTAGATCCACTGTGTTTCCTTTGTCTAAAAAATCTGTTACCTTCTCAAAGAAGGAGATCAGGTTGGTTTGACACGATCTACCTTTTGTAAAACCATGTTGTATTTTGTCCCAATTACCACTGACCTCAATGTCCTTAACTACTTTCTCCTTCAAAATTTTTTCCAAGACCTTGCATACTACAGATGTCAAACTAACAGACCTGTAGTTACCTGGATCACTTTTTTTTCCTTTCTTAAAAATAGGAACTATGTTAGCAATTCTCCAGTCATACGGTACAACCTCTGAGTTTACAGATTCATTAAAAATTCTTGCTAATGGGCTTGCAATTTATGTGCCAGTTCCTTTAATATTCTTGGATGAAGATTATCTGGCCTCCCCGATTTAGTCCCATTAAGATGTTCAAATTTGGCTTCTACCTCGGATGTGGTAGTATCTGCCTCCCTATCCTCATTCCCCTTTCTTGGGATGCAGGCTTCTGATAGCTTCTGCAACTTTGACTTAAAGTAACCCGAGGCCTCCTCTGCCTTTAGATCCATAAGTTCTTCAGTCCAATCCACTTCCCTAACTAATTTCCTTAATTTTTGAAAGTCAGCCCTTTTGAAATCAAAAACCCTAGTTGCAGATTTATTTTTGTTTATCCTGCCGTTCAGTTTGAACTGAATTAGCTCATGATCACTTGAAACAAGATTGTCCCCTTCAACCATTTCTTCTATGAGGTCCTCACTACTCACCAAAACCAAATTTAAAATGGCATCCCCTCTAGTCGGTTCAGCAACTACTTGATGAAGGAATCCATCAGCTATCACATCCAGGAAAATCTGAGCCCTATTATTATTACTAGCACTTGTCCTCCAGTCTATATCTGGGAAGTTAAAGTCTCCCATGATCACACAATTCCCATTAGTATTTACTTCTTTAAAAACATTAAAGAAGTCTCTATCCATATCCACATTGGATCCTGGCGGTCCATAGCAAGCCCCAAGCACTACCCCAGGGCAGGCTCTAGCAGCTTTCTTCCCCAATGTGATTTTTGCCCAGACAGACTCTGTCTTATCCATTCCATCACTTATTTCTTTACATTCTACCTCATCATTGATATACAATGCTACTCCACCACCTTTGCCTTTATTTCCATCTTTCCTAAACAGCACATACCCTTCAATACCCGTACTCCAGTCATGACTACTATTCCACCATGTTTCTGTTATCCCTATAATATCTGGTTTCACTTCCTGCACCAGTAGCTCTAGTTCCTCCATTTTGTTACCTAGGCTCCTTGCATTACTGTACATCTTAATTTTTGCTGTTTGGCATCACTCACATTCTTTACCCGATTAGGCACAGACATTCTACCGCCAGTATCACCTATTAGACTGGTATCCACACTACCCTTCCTCCTTATGTCCATTCTCCTACCCATGGCTGTATCCTTTCTTACTTCATTTTCTTCCCTCTCAGAATGTTAAAATCCGGCATGGAGATTACCTGGACATCTCCCAACCATCTCCCCCAGTTTCCTAGTTTAAAGCTCTTTTGGTCAGTTGTGCCATCCTCCATCCTAGAAGTCTATTTCCCTCCTTACTCAGGTGAAGTCCATTCCGAGAGAACAGTCTTCTGTCCATGAGTGCTTCCCAGTGGCCATACATCCCAAAGCCCTCCTTATAGCACCAGTGCCTGAGCCTTCTGTTGAGTATCATAATCTTGTCACACCTTTGTTGCCCTTCTCTAGGAACAGGCAGAATCCCACTGAAGATCACCTGAGCCTCGATTTCCTTAAGCGTCTTCCCCAGCCTGGCATAGTCTCCCTTGATACGTTCCAACAAGAATCTAGCTGTATCATTTGTTCCCACATGAAGGACAATCAGTGGATTCTTTCCCGCTCCCGTTAGGAGAAAGGGTGGTTGGATGGGGCAGGGGTCCTGTGCGGGGGGCAGTCAGGAATGAGAGGAGGAGTTGGATGGGGCAGTGGGGGTCAGTCAGAGGTGGGGAGTCCGGAGGTGGTCAGGGGACAGGGAGCAGGGAGTGGTGGATGGAGTAGGAGTCCCGGGGGGCAGTCAGGGAACCGGGTGGGGGGGTGATGTTGGATGTCCCAGGGGAGCCATCAGTGGCGAGAAGCGGGGGGGAGGGAAGGGGGGAGAAGAGGTTAGGAGGTGGGGGCCAGGCCATGCCTGGCTGTTTGGGGAGACATAGCCTCCCCTAACCGGCCCTCCATACAACTTTGGAAAGCCGATGTGGCCCTCAGGCCAAAAAGTTTTCTCGCCCCTGTGTTAGACACACTAAGAACCTAGGGAAAATGAAGCAGAAGCATCTCCAATGAAAAAATTACCGGTGTTCATGTAACCATATTTGGCTGCAACACGTTTTTCTTCCCAAGGTATGCATGAACATTCCTGTCTATTGGCATGAACAGACAGGACCTTTTCACCCGGAAGTTTTCCTTCTCATCAGCTTTACAATTTAATCTTAGAAGCATGGGGAACTGCAAGTCTCAAGGATTAGTGATGGGGGTGTGGAGCCTTCTACCTCTAAGTCACTAGTCTGAATCCAGCTCATGTTGAGAGTAACTGAAAATTGTTACCATCAAAAGAGAGCTGCATCTGTACGCTTCCTGGTTCAGTAAAAGTGGAAAACAGACACTCTAATAATCAGGCTCAGCCCAGCTGCAGGTGAGCGAGCAGTCAGTCAATGGCATCGCCCCAGAAGAGATGTCAAGGGCATTTCTCTAGTCAAAGGAAAGGACAGAAAAGCACCAGGTTGCCACTAATGATCAATGCGCAGATCAGTCTTTCTACCTACTTTGCATTCCGGGCACTTCTCCTTCAGCTTTCTGCCAATGCCAGTGATGGTACCTCCTGTGCCAGCTCCACCCACGACCATGTGGACCTTGCCTGCAGTTAAAGGAGGTGAGAAGCATTTAGAGAGGATGGAAATGTTCTCCACAACTGGTTTATTCTGGCATGTCACATCAGTAGGTATTTTACACACGTTCTTGTGCACAGAGAACCTGTCCATGTCGAAAACTGGACAAAATTCATGCTAGTGAGCAGAAGCATTGTAGTGCTGTGATGCGCCAATAAGCTTCACCCCATTGTACTTTGATAGATTGCTAGCTTCGTAACTCCATCCTTTTGCACTATGTTGTGTTGAAATTCTGCAGACACATTAGCTATAGCACGCATTGATTTGGCTGGCCTTAGCATCCAGCTAAGAGAGAGCTCTGACATCAGTATAAGCCAGGAACAGCTCCACTGAAGTCAGTGTATTTACATGGATGTAAAAGTGGTGGAAGCAGCGGCATATTAACGCCTAGGCCGATAAGGCCTAGGCCTAGGGTAGCAAATTTGCAGGGGCAGCAAATTTATAATAGCAGCCAGAGGCTGCTTCCCCCAGCGCCGGTTCCCGCCCTCCCCCCCCGCCCTGCCCCAACCCCACCCCCATTCCCCGCCCCCTCCCTGCCCCTATTGGTCCCCTTTTCCAAATCTTCACCCTGGCCCTGCCTCCTCTCCTGAGCGCGCCGTGTTCCCCCCTTCCCCCCTCCTTCGCGAAGCTGTTTCCCGCACAAGCACTGGCAGGGAGCAAGGAGAAGCAGGACCCAGCGGCACGCTCGGGGAGGAGGCGGAGGTGGAGGTGAGCTGGGGCGGGGGCGGGGGGGGGGGACAGCAATTATTTCAGGGCCTAGAGGCGGCAAAATCTTTAATCCGCCACTGGGTGGAAGTGAGAGTAGACTCAGGCCCTGCGAGTTTTAGGCTGTAACTACACTGGCAAAAATGAGACATAATTCATTACTGGTTGCTGCCAGGGCTAGCAATGGTGCACAATATAGTATTGGCAGGGCTCAGGCTTTCTTGCCAGCATTGTCAGCTAACCTTGTTAAAACACCTGAGCCCTGTGTTCACTATGCCTTTCACTCTTTCTACCACTGGGGATGGGTTCCATTTTTCCCATCTAGACAAGGACTGAAATTCTTTTATTGCCTATTCCAGCCACCAAATTAAGATGGATTAGTCTCTGCAGCTCTCGCAAAGTTCTGATCCATTTTAATTTACTAATGACTTTGCTGGATCAGCTACAGTGTGCCGATTACTCGTATGGAGTGATATTCCCAGGGAGGCCTCTTGATCCATTTAGTGCTTTCAACTAACCCATTACAGTGATGCCACAACTGCAGGTAGATGGCCACCTTCACTGTGCCACCCAGCACTGTGTCATGTCCCTACGTTCCCCAGGCCATGCTGTCACAGCTGACAGCAGCAGAGGCAAGAGAGAGGAGACTGCTGGTTAGCCATTCTCCATGAGGGACCCACTATTTTGTAATTTGCTTCCTCCAGGGTCCAAATTAGCCCAACTGTGTTGCAAGGCTCATCTCTTTCCCGAGGCTTTTGAAAATGGAGGGGAATTGTAATTACAAGGGTGGGGAATTGTTCAAGGGGGAGGGAGGTCATCCCAAATTGCTGCGCTCAGGGGTTATTTAAAGTTATGTCAAGGGTGCCTGTAACTTACCAAGTCCCTTTTTAGCTTTTCTACACATTTAAATAAATAAGACCATAAAGTAACATAAACCTCCCTCAGAAGGACATGGCATGTGCAATCCATGGCCGAGATAGAACAAACAGGACCTTCGCACTGCTCCAGGATCTCCTCAGCGGTGGTGTCATAATGAGCCATCGGGTTGCCGGGATTTCGGTACTGTTTATTACAACAGAGAACAGTGTATGTTACGGTTAACAGTGAGGGTCAGACACTGAACTAAGAACTGCTACAGAGGTGTTTTACTCAAGGCATAAAAAGCCCCCTCTGTGTCCTGCGCAACACTGTGCCACAATCCAAGCAGGCCAGGGAGAGAGTCCTCGTAGTCTAGTAACTTGATGTCTTGGGCTTTAGGGAGGTACTGCAGTGTGTGGTATGTTTTCCAGTGAGGAGCTAAACAGAAGGACAGGAATGTTGTCCCCAGCTATGCCCCTAAACCCAACCCCATGCCCCCATGGAAGACACAGGCTGATAGAAAACCAGGTGTTGGCAATGCTGTTGGATGGGCACATCCCTTCATGACTGAACACAAAACAGACATAGCCTGATGAAGACTGGCAAGAGGGGGAGCTGCCTGAGGGTATGGAAGGGAGCTGTAGTGTCTGAGCAAGGGAATTCTGGAGGCAACACACCGGCGGAGATCAGAAACGGGCATGAAGGGGAAACTATGTTCCTAGGAGTGCTGTGACACTATCGAACAGATGTTTGTGCCTCCCCTCAGTGCTGATCCCTTGCCACTGTTGGGTGTTCATGGGGGTGAAAGGGCATGACCACTATGCCCCACTCAGACATATTCCTTCTGGGACAGAGTATGCTGCTGCCACCCCGTCTTGTGCTTCCAGAGGACAAGTGCTCCTAGCTGCCTCCCAGGCGGCAGGGCTAGGGGGTGAGGGGAATGAAGGAGCTCCCAGAACTCTGAGCCCTGCAGTTGGTGGAGGGCTGCTGGCATGGGTGTTTCTAGTTCAGTGGTGCCAACTCTTGTGATGTTTGGTGCTTTTCTTAAAGCTCCAGCTCCTGGAGGCCAGCGATTCCCTGAGAAACTCAGCTTCCATTTTTTTTAAAAGTAAGCTTTTAATCCACGTGGTTGCAGAGAAAAACCTGCAAATGTGACGAGAGTGCACCCAAAAAGCTCATAATCCCCCAGCAAAGAAACCCCCCTCTGCCCCCATGTATTATTACTTTTTGTTGTTGTTTTAAAAAATCTCCTGATTTTTCAGCACAGTGAGTCATCAGGTAGCCCAGGAGCAGAACTCAGAAGTGCCTGACTTCCAGCTCCTAGCTCAGGCCTCGACAAGCCCATGCTGCTGCCTCAAGGAAGCTCATTCACAGAGACTGTAGAAAGGTCAATGATCCTCTAAGCAAGAAGACTAAACTAACCTGTCCCTCCCTACGGTGAGCCCTGTGGCAGGAACGTACCAGCCCATAGCAAGTGATCCTTGTACGTACGTGTCAATGTGTGGGGCAAAGAGGGACGGGCTCAGATTACCACTGCCCATTCTGTAGCAGGGGTTACTATAAGCGGTTTATTTGATCTTCACTGTGAGCCTATTTATATATACACAACATACTTTTTTCCAGTGCTGCCAGTCAGGAACCTTTCTCAAGCATAAAAATGTACTTTAAAGTGGTTGTAAAACACTCTCCAGACAGAACAGGATCAAAATGTGCTCAAACCCCCAAAACTTTGCCACAAGTTCCACAGTCTCTGAATATGCCTCTTATTTTGGTTTTGCAGTCCAGTGTTTCAAGGAAGAGAAGTCAAGTCACATGTGCCCTAAAAATGAGCATCAGTGTCTGGGAGAAGAAATGCAGTGGCAAGAAGTGCCACAATGGCGCTGAGTATCTTACAGAGGTGTAGCAGAATGAGCGAGATGAGCAGACCTAGGCAATCCTGTACAATCCAGATTTAAAGAGAGAACCCAAAAAGTAATTGACTTTACCTGGTCCAGAATGTGGGAGTTCGGGATTTCATTTCTCAGCCTCTGAGCAACAGAAACATTAGACTCAGGGGAATCAAACTTGGCGCCTGGAGTCCTAACAATCTCAGAACCAAGAGCCCTTAGTATATCAACCTGTAAATCATAAATCAGACACAATAAAGCTGATCTCCTGTACTGCTGGTAATCTGAACCTATATATTCATGTTAGTATCAAAAGCCAGACTGGGCTTTGCATTCATGAGACATTTAACATTTAGAGTGGTTTAGAGATACAATGTCTGATTCTCAGTCACACTCACTAATGCTCTTTTACATCGTTTTGGCAGCATAATGGGCCTTTAAATTGGTTGGAAATGCCGCCTGAAAATATTCCTAAATTCAGAAGGCCTTCCCAGCCTGGCATAAGGATTCTAGCCTGGCCATGCTCCTAGCCTCTACAACGAACTGGTAGCTGGGAGGCATGACCAGAATCAACTGCACTACTACTATTTGCTGGTTTCCAAGGGACATATGGAGCAAAGCATATCTTAGAGCACTCCCAAGGCTGCTCTAATGTACACCATGGACTGGGCAGCCCCAGCACAGATCCAGAATACAGGTAGAGCAAACTGGCCATAAGCACAGGAATGGAGTACCTGAGAATGAGTGTTTATCAACAGAGAGACACTGTTGTGTAGCGGTGAGAACAGGAGAGCTAGGTATTAGAGCTCTTCGTTTTCTGATCATTTGGTGGGTGGGTTATTACAGTTGGGCTGAGGAGGTGGTGTTTGATCCAGATTAGGTCTAGGTTAGGGTTGAGGTTTGAGCCAAGTCAGGGCTAGGATTCAGGTCTGAATTCAAAGGCACCAAAGTCTTGCAAACTGTTATTGTGAGATTTTTGCCCCAAATGGAGGAACTCTCACAAGATCATGTGAAATTTCTGCCATCTTGATGGGGTTTCTGATTAATACTCCTATGAGGTAACTATAAATATCTTCAGTTTACATAGAGGGAAATGGACAGAGAGGTTAAGTGACTTGCCAAAAGTCACACAAGAAGTTAGCAGCAGAACTGGAAATGGAACCAAGGAGCCCTGCATACCTTTCCTTTGCTCTAACCATCACACACCCCCATAGACGCAAAATTGCATCATCTCTGTGCAGAAATGTACCATATTTGGTTAATATATTGCACCAGCTGCATAGCTGACACCAGATAATCAGTCAGATTATCACTGCCTGCTTCATTGTCCAGAGAATTCTTCTGAATAACTACAAAGATATGCCATTACTTGTAACTAGGATTGTTACCCTATATAGGAAAGGGTTCACTAGTTCTAAAGAGAGAGAACTTTCCCCATTCCCAGGATTTTAGTGTAATACCATAATGGACTCTGACCTTCTCCATGCTCATTTTCTCTGGCAACACAATGATGCTGCGGTAGCCTTTCACTGCAGCAACGAGGGCCAGTCCGATTCCTAGGCAGTGGGGGAGGAAAGGGAATTATTCAGTGACAGCATTTGGAAAGGTCAACTGACAGTCACAGTCTCCTGCAAGTCCTGTGTTAATCTGGTAAATGCAGCTCCTGAATTTGCACGTAAAAGCTAAATAGCAATGTACCATCTTAGACTTTTTGCATGCTCTCTGACAGTCCTAGTGTAGGAGGATGTTCTAATTTGAGAGTTTACTTGTAATTAAGTCTCTGTGTCCCTGAGAACTGGGGAAGAGCAGTATATTTTCACAGCATACAAACTGAAGGGACTGGAAAGGCTCAGAAGCATTTTTCTACACTTAGCAACGCACCGATCTCTTGTTTTCCGACATGTGTCGTTTCACACAGAAAAGATATAATTACGCTTAGACAGCTCTCTGTTCTCCTCAGGACTGCTTAATGCCCCCCGCCCCCAGCAGGCTAACGTGTGGGACAAAGCTGCACATGTGCCAGCCTCACTCCATGGCTCGTTGGCAAAGTGTATCTGTGCTCTAATTTCACTTGGAATGACTGACTGAGCCAGCTGTTCCCATGCTGGATGGGGAAGGTAAATGATGCACAGGGCATGCGTGAAACATTGCTTCTGTACTAGGACGTGCTGTCGAAAATGTCTGCAATACACGCAGGAGTTAAATGCAGCCTGCCAGAGGATTGGTAGAAATTGCTTTAGTATTAGAGCTAGATCAAATGGTCAGATAACAAAAAGCAAAGAAATTCCACTGTAGGCCCCTACTCTGAGCTCAATCATGCCATTCAGGCACAGCCTAGTGTTGGAAGCGGTGTGGAGTCACACGACCCCTAGGCAAGTACAAGGAGGAATGCTGCCTCGGGGGTGCAGAATTCCTTCCTGAGCCCTGTGGCATTTACACCCTTATATAGGGTGCAGTTTAATCCTCCTCAGCTATGCTGGTCTTGTTTGACCTGCTACTGCGAGGGGGTGTGGGGAGACAGACCCATAGCCCTAGCTGCTTGGAGGTCCTGCATGCACCAGGAAAATAGGAAGGGTGCAGCCCCGGCCAGTTGCACCTGCTTCTTGTGCAAGCTACAGAATGGGGAAAAGCTCCTGCACCTTCTCTCCCAACCATGAACTGGCCCTAGCTTGTTCCTGGCCAGCTAAGACTAAGTAAGGCAGATATGGGAGAAGCAATGATATATTTGTAGGCTTGGCAACATTAAATTTTCATTTGTTTTGTCATTGTGACAGATCATATTGATGTTTATTTTTAAGCATTTTTAAAGATTTTTAGCCATTTAAACGATCAAAGTTGTGGACTGTTGTGGGGGCAGGGTAAGAGAATGATTTAATGACAATAGACACCGAGGTTCAAAAAGTTAAAGCTTTCTAGCCGTTAAAACACAAACTGTCCACATCGCCCGCCAAAATATACAATGCAAAGAGCTTTCAACCGTCAAATCCCACCTGCTTTTACTATTCATTCACTTGTCCATTTGTAATAAGCCTGTTTCAAAAGTCCCAGGTCATTGGATTTTGCCTCTAATTAAGTCTCAAGCAGCATTTTTCTTACTTTGCCTGTCTGTAAATTTTGATTATCAGTGATGGAAATATTTTCCCATTGGTTTGCGTGTGTGCACGCAGTGAAATCAATATTTACTGACATTTCTAATCCTTCCAAGCCTATTTATTTGCTGGGGGAAGTCAGGGAAATTCCTCTGTGGAAACTTGCTCTAGCTATTCGATAACCTTGCAGCCAGGAAATGTGCTTTACGTGTGCAGCTCCTCTCAATCTTGTTGTTAGATGCATTGTTGTTTGCGAACTACCCAATATTACCACACACTGGCTCTGCGGCTTTGACACCTTGGTGCAGTTTTAACCCACCTAGGAATTTCGGCACTAAATCACCCCTGAGATCTTACTTCCTCTGGTGTGATGCGACAGCTAGGCACAGTTTGGGATGGGGTGGGTGAGTTGAGGACAGAGACAGCGTTATAAGGACAGAGGCTAATTTCCAGACTAAAACACGTATAACAATGTAACACACATGCCTGCAGCTACACATCAGGCCAGGAGGTAAATTTTCTTTATCAAACTTTCCCAGCAAACATGAATACATCAGCAACAGATGGGGTCAATGGGCACTGGAAAAGGGTGTAACGGGCTGGATCATGGAAACCCCCGTGGGGCTGCCACCTGATGTGCCAAGACTACTTCTGCCCCTGCTTTCCCTGCCAGCTTGGGACTCCAGCACCCTGTCTTGTTGAACCAGACATGCCAGTCTGTTCCAACACAGACCCAGAGTCTAAACCACATGCCCCAAAGCTGCAGACTAACTGAAAGCAACTTAAGAAGTGTTCCTGTCTTTAACATTCAGATGCTCAACCCCCAATGGGGTCCAAACCCCAAATAAATCTGTTTTACCTTGTATAAAGCTTATACAGGGTAAACTCATAAATTGTTCACCCTCTATGACACTGATAGAGAGATATGCACAGCTGTTTCCCCCTCCCACCCCCCCAGGTATTAATACTTACTCTGGGTTAATTAGTAAGTAAAAGGTGATTTTATTAAATACAGAAAGTAGGATTTAAGTGGCTTCAAGTAATAGCAGACAGAACAAAGTGAATTACCAAGCAAAATAAAATAAAGCATGCAAGTCTAAGTCTAGTACAGTAATAAAACTGAATACAGATAAAATCTCACCCTCAGAGATGTTTCAATAAGTTTCTTTCACAGACCGGACACCTTCCTGGTCTGGGCACAATCCTTTCCCCTGGTACAGCCCTTGTTCCAGCTCAGGTGGTAGCTAGGGGATTTCTCATGATGGCTGCCCCTTTTGTTCTGTTCCACCCACTTATATATCTTTTGCATAAGGCGTGAATCCTTTATCCCTCTCTGGGTTCCCACCCCTCCTTCTGAATGGAAAAACACCAGGTTAAAGATGGATTCCAGTTCAGGTGACATGATCACATGTCACTATAAGACTTCATTACCCATTTGCCAGCACACCGGTATACAGGAAGACTTACAAGTAAAACAGATTTCAGAGTAACAGCCATGTTAGTCTGTATTCGCAAAAAGAAAAGGAGTACTTGTGGCACCTTAGAGACTAACCAATTTATTTGAGCATAAGCTTTCGTGAGCTACAGCTCACTTCATCGGATGCATACTGTGGAAACTGCAGAAGACATTATATACACAGAGACCATGAAACAATACCTCCTCCCATCCCACTCTCCTGCTGGTAATAGCTTATCTAAAGTGATCACTCTCCTTACAATGTGTATGATAATCAAGTTGGGCCATTTCCAGCACAAATCCAAGTTTTCTCACCCCCCAGCCCCCCTCCAAAAACCACACACACAAAACAGAGTAATCTGCAGGCAATTGTCCTGGTTAATGGGAGCCATCAAGATCCCAAACCACCATTAATGACCCACACTTTGCATAATTACAATAGGCCCTCAGAGTTATATTTCATATTTCTAGTTTCAGATACAAGAGTGATACATTTATACAAATAGTATGACTACACTCAGTAGATTATAAGCTTTGTAACGATACCTTACAAGAGCCCTTTTGCATGAAGCATATTCCAGTTACATTATATTCACACTCATTAGCATATTTTCATAAAAACATATAGAGTGTAACATCACAAAGGGAAAACTTCTTTTAACAGAAAAGGTTTAGCAAGCCTCATTTCCCCTCTTCATTGTAGTAGGAGCTGAAAGGCTCCAAAAGCTTCCATCCCATCCCCTCCTATGTGTCCCACTCAAAAATATCAGGCCATCATTCTATTCCATAACCATGCTGTCCAAATGCAGGGCCACAAATCCAGTTCCTACCTGTGTTTCCTGATGTTGGCTCAATGAGCGTGTCTCCGGGTTTTATGATCCCAGCTCTTTCGGCATCCTCCACCATCCTCAGGGCGATTCGATCCTTCACGCTCCCCCCAGCATTGAAGTACTCGCACTTTGCCACTAAAATTTGAAGGGGAGCCCAAATTACAGATGAGCCCAAATCCAACTCACCTGCATACAGTTTTATCCCTGCTATCAAATATGCTAAAACCATCACTACAGAGTGACTTTCTACACAGAGAAACGTATCAGTTCTTCTCAGATTCTCACCATTCACCCCTCACCAAGAACACCAAAAATAATAATAAATAATAATAATATGTCATTGTAATTAACCACTAGCAAACTCCCAAACACACCATTATCTGTAGCATTAGTCTATAGTATAAGGGCCAGGTACATAAGAGATGGAATGAAGAGATATTGTTTGTTTTACATTTTAATAGCATTTGTTATTCAGTAAAATTCAAGTCAATAAAGAATAACAAGTTCTACTACCAAGTGCCAGATTTCTAAGTCTGTTTTATGAGCTATCAGTCCTCCCATTTCTGGACACAAGAGGATTGCCAGGTTGGGTCACACAATCATAAAGTGGGTGTTTCTCCTTCCTCTGAGGCATCCAACAGCAGCCAGTGTCAGAGATGGAAGAAGTGAGTGCACGGCTCATGGTTAAGGCAATGACTTAGTCATGGGTATTTTTAGTAAAAGTCAGACTATGACTAAATCTTAGCTGCCCTGGCCCTGCAGCCCCTGCTGCTCTGGAGGGCCACCCAGAGTGCTGCTGCTCTGGGGGGTCCCTGAGGCACTGCTGCACTGGGGGAGCCTGGGTCCAGCCCCATCGACCACTGCTCTGGGGGGCCCCAGGGCCAGATGCTTGAGGCCACCGAGCACCAGCTACTCCGGCCACCCCTGGGGCCACGCTCCGGTCGCTGCTCCGCCACCCCAGGACAGCTGCTCAGGCAGTCCCGAGGGCCAGCCACACCAGCTGCTGCTAGGGCAGTCTCTGAGGCCAGCTGCCCAGGGCCGCCAAGCAGCAGCCGGTGCAGCTGTTCCCAGGGCCGCTCCAGCAGTGGCCCATCTGGCTAGCTGTGGGGCCACCTGAGCAACTGACTCTGGCACTGGCTGGGCCCGGGGCTGCCTAAGCAGCTGGCTCCAGGGCCAGTTGCTCGGGTGGCCCTGGCGTCAGCCACACTGGCCACTGCAGCTACAGAATTTCATGGAGGCCATAGAAAGTCACAGAATCAGTGACTTCCACGACCTCTGTTGCAAACTCACAACCTTAATCATTGGCCTTTTCTGGTGCAGCAGTTCCTGTATTGTTGTAGATTTATAAAGAGGTAGAACTTTGAAAGTAACTTTTTGTGCTGTTTTTCTAGGCTACCTAATGAAATAAATAATTATCATTGGGCCAGATTCTCATACGCTTACTCTTTTTGTGTAGTACCTCAGAGCTGGTTCATGCTCCCTTTGAAGCCAATGTTTTGACATTGGCCTCAATTAGAGCAGGATTGGGACCTTACTCCACAAGAGGTCCTGCTGAAGTCCATGGGGCCAGGACAACTTTTGGAGTAAATTACTACTCAGGGAGACGAGGGGTAACAGAACCTGGCCCTGTTTGTTGAAGCCCAACAGCTGAGCTCAGGCTGAACAGAACAGGGAGGAGACAGGGTGGAATTTACAATCTAAGAGCCAGTTTGTGTCACCCTAACCCACGCTGAGTTGTTAGAACCATACGCTGCAAGGAACGCCCTTATGAAAACAAATCAGGAGATAATGTACTTTCAGGGTTTAAATTTTATGAGGTAAATTGCCAAAATCAGGCTACAGGGACATTTCAAAAGGCAAACATGACTATTTTTAGTCATTCCCACAGCATTGTTATCCCCTTGTTCACACCAGTTACTGCACAAGTTTATTTTGCAGTGTACTTTGTGCTGATCGACAGGTGTTATAAAAGAAAACGTAAGGCCACTCATATAACTTATGTTTCCTTTCCAGTCCTGCACCTGCTGGGGAGACAACATCCTGGTAAACAGCAGCACTGCATATCTTCCTGGTTTGCCCACTGCCTTTTTGAACAAGCCCCTCTTGTGTCTCCTGGGGACATGCCTCCTGGTAACAACCTCCAGGTATGGGCAGCCTGCAGAGGTGCACAAGCAATTAATAATCTGCCCCTGTTGCCTGCCCTCCCTCCACCCCCACAACACCAACTCACCCAGCCTTTATACAGAGGGCCTATACCAGGGGAAAGGTACACTGGAAAACGTCTTACCTTGAAATGAACCTCAGAGTGGGAAGAGCAGATGGGAATGGGACTCCACAATTGGGAGAAAACAAACATTTATTCCTTGATAACACGGAGACAAGCCACAGGACAATAACTACCTGTGTTTTTTCTGATTTCCCTTAGCACTTGCAATGCTACAGCCTGCACGTACAGGGGCCTTATCACCTGCTGAAAGACTAGCAATCCTCCAAGCGAAGCAAAAGAGGCAGCTCAGGGACCGTAGTGACAGTATCCCAATACAGGGTTATGAAGGCAGAGGTGTGAAGGGATGGTTTCCTGAAGCATTCATAAAGAATCAGAATGGAATGCATGGTCCTGCAAAGGGACCTGATGCACATGATGCATGCCCTCTGTTATTTTTTTATTCAAGTGGTGTTATTTATTAACTATGTCATTTGCTGGATCATCTGAGACAATGAGACATGGAATATGTTGGCCAGAGAGAGTACAAGGCCTAGTAATCCCAGCACAAAGATGAGGAAGACCTAGAAAAAGGTGGTTTGAGACACTGAAGGAGGACATGAAGAAAGTTTGTGTCAGCTTGGAAAACGCACTCAATAAGAATATTTGGGATGAAGAAAAAGAACCACCAACCCCAAATGATGGGACAAGGCAAAGAAGAAGCTAAAAAATTTCACTGGGGAACAACTCTCTTGCATCAATTAGAATATCTGTCCCATAGTATTAATCTATGTAATAAGATCCCAGGGTTGTCACTGTGCATGTGTGTCATTCTGAAGCCTAGCACGTCTGAGTCAGTGTGAAGCAATAGAAGCAGCTGCAAGCATGGTTGAGAGCTCTTTTTGTCCAGGATTTCACCAGGTTCAATCATCACTGAGATTGTCTGCTACTATCCAATTTTTAAGTTCTCAGGTGCTTTTCAGCGTTTTTACACACAACTATGAATTACCCCCATGCAACAGCACGGGCTTTCAGCTAGTTCCTCCTGAAATCAATGCTCTTTTCAGTCATTTCTTTGGTACAAAGAAATTCATTATCCACAACTACCCCTGGCCTCAAAGTAGGAGCAAAACACTTCCCTGACTCTATTTTCCTAACCAGTTGGGGCATTTTGCAGAGGCGCTCCCTCCAGCTGTCCATAACAGTCAGAACGTCTCTCCATCTACTCCTCCCACCCCTCCGTTAGGCTCTCTCCCTTGCTCTCGCAGATGTGCAAAATGCAGCAAGCAGCTATCACAGGCGGCATGTCATCCAGCCTTGCCATGAGACACCTCCACCTCCCCTTCAGTCTTTCAAATGCACACTGCTCTCATTTGGCAGCCACACACGATATAGTTAAAAGTCAACGTTTTTCTTGTCAAAGTGTCCCGTAAAAGGCTTCATAAGCCAGGGAGGCAGAGGGGAAAGCTGGGGCTCCCAGAATGGCAGGAGGAATCAACTTCACTAATGTCTATGGTATGCTGAGAGCAAAAGTTCCCTTTGCTCAATCCAGCAAACAGGCCTGGGTTTCTAAAGATCCTGGCATCATGGACCTTTCCAGACCACCTCATATTAATAGCTGTGAACCTTCCGCAGTGATCAGCCTGCCCTGGCAGCAATGAGACATATCCTTCTTGTTGATAAAGTCTTTGATGTGGTGTGGGGGGCAAAGAACAGTCCCTATATAGTTCAGGAACCCCATCTATGCAAAGCCATCAATAACTTCCTGTGCATTGCTGAGCTGTGTCACACAGCGCGGCAGCTCCCTCTGAACAGCACTGCAAAGCTCAATGGCAACAGACCCGACAGCTGATCTACCAGTGAACTGGCTAGCCACTGACCAGTGGCAATCAGGGGCGGCGAGCTCCCAGGTGGTGAGGGCCACTTACTTCTCCAGGCTGAGGGGACCTCTCATTTTGGTGTTCTTCTGCTGCAGCTCCGGGCTCTCCACAGGCCTCTCTAGGAAAGTAGCTGAAGTGCTACTGCCGGTCATCCCAGTTCTGAGCCTCCCTCTTGTCCCACCAGGCACCGCTAAGTCTTTGAGACCACAAAGGGCTTTCAGCCAAGTGAACCTGCTCCAGGAAAACACCCTGCAGAAGTAACTACTCGAATTCATCCTTCTGCTCTTCCTTCACCTGTAGCCATACAGGCCAGGCATCCAAAGCCACCAAGCCAAACCCACCTGGCTGCACACCTGTCAAAGCACATACCTCATTCTGTTTGAATTAACGGCTGTCATGACCGTGGCGCTCAGGAGGGTGACCACCCATCCTGAATTGGGCAGGACAGTCCTGAAATGCAGAGTTCGAGTCCCGGTCCCTGGCTGAATGACTCCCTGGGACACTGCTCTGTGCCTGCCTGAGACTCAGGGGCAGCACCAGCCTCTTCCCGGGGTGGGGGGGGGGGGCTGAGAAGGGCCTTAGCCCCCCTGACCACGAGGCCGCACCCCCTGCTCCTCCTGTCCCCACCAAGGCCCTGGCCAGGCCAGAAGCCAGAGCTGGGCTGTGGTAAGAGCCACCCAGGGAGCCTGGGCCACTGTGGGGAGCCCCAGACTCTTCACCTGCCCTGCGTGGTGCATCCCAGGGGTGGGGACGCAGGCCAGGGGCCACTTTTGGGCATCTGGCCCGGGGCATGCAGGATCCAGGGTTCCCTACAGCAGTTTGTGCTCCCTGGGCGGCTCTTACCATGGCTAGGCTCCAGCTTCCAGCCTGGCCGGGGGTGGGGCCATGGAGGAAGAGGAGAAGCAGGGCAGGGGTACAGAGTGGGTAGGGCTCCTGCATGTATCCCACTTTTGCCTTTAGAAAAGGTGGTCACCCTAATGCTCAGCAGTGTGTCCTCCACCATGCTGCCTGACAGCAGTTCTAAAATCGTGCTGGCAAAATACAAAT